GGTGGCAAGAGCATACAAAGGAGTAAAGCCAGTCTCTTTAATAGATGGTGTTGGGAAAATTGGACATGCAAAAAAACGAAACTAGACCATCAACTTACACCATACACAAGAATAAAGTCAAAATAGATAAAAGACTTAAATGTGACCCGTGAATCCATAAAAATCCTAGAAAAAAATGTAGGCATCAAATTTTCAGACATCATACGCAGCAGAATTTTCACTGATACAGCACCTAAGGCAACAGAAACAAAGAAAAAAATGAACACATGTGACTACATCAAACTAAAAAGCTTCTGCACAGCAAAAGAAACAACCATCAAAATGGAAAGGGAACCCACTGTATAGGAGAGCATAACTGCCAATGATACATCAGATAAGGGGTTAATTTCCAAAATATATAGAGTACTCATACAACTCAACAAAAGGAAGACAAAGAACCCAATTAAAAAATGGGCAGAGGACCTAAATAGACACCTCACCAAACAGGACATACAAATGGCCTAGAGATATATGAAGAAATGCTCAGCGTCACTAATCATCAGAGAGATGCAAATTAAAACAACAATGAGGTATCACCTCACACCATCAGAATGACCACCATTGACAAATCATCAAACAAGTGTTGGCGAGGGTGCGGAGAAAAGGGGACTCTAGTGCACTGCTGGTGGGAATGCAGACTGGTGCAGCCACAATGGAAAGCACTATGGTGTTACCTCAAAAAATTAAAAATTGAACTGCCATTTAACCCAGTGATCCCACTTCTAGGAATATACCCTAAGAAGCCTGAAACACCAATCAGAAAGAATATATGTAACCCCATGTTCATAGCAGCACTATTTACAATAGCTAAGAGCTGGAAACAGCCCAAGTGTCCATCAGTAGACAAACCGATAAAAAAGTTGTGGTACATATACACAATGGAGTACTATGCAGCTGTAAGAAAGAAAGATCTTTTATCCTTTGAGATGACATGGAGGGACCTGGAGAGTATTATGCTAAGAGAAACAAGCCAAGCAGAAAAAGACAAGCATCACATGATCTCACTTATTTGTGGAATATAATAAACATAACAGTTTGAGGAACAGGGTAGACCCAGAGACGTAGAAGTAGGGTACAGACTGACAACCTTCAGAAGAGGGGGTGGGGAGGGAGGGAAGAGATAAACCACAAAACTTATACGCACGTATGCATAACCGATGGACATGGACAACAAAGCTGGGGATGGGGTGGGGGAAATGGGGAGAAGGGTGTCAATGGGGAAAAAAAGGAGAAATACCTGTAACAAAAATATAAATAAATAACAACAACAACACAAAAGAGGACAAGAACCATTGATTTCATTTATATATGGGATATAAAACAAAAAGCAACAAATGGACTTCTGGTCAAGATGGCAGTGTAGGTAACCGCGGCAGCGCGTCCTCCCACAACCACATCAAAGTTACAACTAAACTACAGAGCAACCATCATTCAAAACCACCTGACATCGAGCTGAATGGAAGTCCTACAACTACGGAATTAAAGCAGCAGCCACATCGAAACTGGTAGGAGCAGAGGCGGATGGGCTGGTCCCACACCCACGTGTGGCGGATAAAAATCAGGAGGGTACCTCGGCTGGGAAGGTCTTTCCTGAGGACTGAGGGGTCCCCGTCCCACACCAGGTGCCCCACTCAGGGTTCCAGTGCCAGGAAGAGAATCCCCATCACTTCTGGCTGGAAAAACCAGCGGGAACTGAGGTTCAGGGAGGCTGAGGCGGCTGGAGCCCCAGGCAGCTCCTCTTAAAGGGCCCGCGCACGGAATTATTGGACTCATTCCCTCTAAGCTTGGAGGGGAGGCAGCTAGAGGGGCGCCAGAGACATACAGGGAAGAACTGAGTTGTTTGGCACTGGATCCAGTGCTGGAGACGGGGCTTTCTCCGGGACAAACGTGCTGTCAGAGGCCTTTGTTCCTTTGGTGAGCCCTTCTCTGGGGCGGCAACAGCCACAATATCTGGGACTCCAGCAACCTGGCTCACACTGGTTGCCTCGCCCTGGTGATTCTGAGGCCCCGCCCCACCCAACTTTCAGGCCCACCCAAGCTGTTGCCACTTGCTTAACCATAGGATTGGCCTGTCTGGGATCCTGTTTCAGGTTTTCCTAAATTCTTTCAAACAAGCAACATCTGGTCTCAGATAGCCTCATACCTCTTGTTAAGTAATACATAGAAACAAACACAGGGAGGCAGCCAAAATGAGGAGACAAAGAAACAGGTCCCAAATGAAAGAACAGAACAAAACCCCAAGAAAAGAACTAAGCGAAATGGAGATAAGCAACCTAACAGATGCTGAGTTCAAAATACTGCTTATAAGGATGCTCAATGACCTTAGTGAGGGCCTCAAGAGCATAAAAAAGGACCAGTCAGAAATGATGGATGCACAGTCAGAAATGAAGGAAGCATTAACTGAAATAAAGAATAATTTACACAGATTCAATAGTAGAGTATGTAAATCCAAGAAGCAAACCATTGATTTGGAATATAAGGAAGCAAAAAACACCCAATCAGAACAGCAAAAAGAAAAAAGAATCCAACAAAATGAGGATAGGGTAAGGAGCCTCTGGGACAACTTCAAGCGTGCCAACATTCGCATCTTGGGGGTGCCAGAAGGAGAAGAGAGAGAACAAGAAATTGAAAACCTGTTTGAAACAATAATGGCAGAAAACTTCCCTAACTTGGTGAAGGAAACAGACATAAAAGTCCAGGAAGCACAGAGTCCCAAACAAGATGAACCCCAAGAGGCCCACACCAAGACACATCATCATCAAAATGCAAAAGGTTCAAGACAAAGAGAATCTTAAAAGCAGCAAGAGAAAAGCAGTTAGTTACCTACAAGGGAGTTCCCATAAGCCTGTCAGCTGATTTCTCAAAAGAAATTTTGCAGGCCAGAAGGGAGTGGCAAGAAATATTCAGAGTGATGAAAAGCAAGAACCTACAACCAAGATTACTCTATCCTGCAAAGCTGTCATTTAGAATCGATGGCCATATAAAGACTTTCCCAGACAAGAAAAAGTTAAAGGAGTTCATCACCACCAAACCATTATTATATGAAATGATGAAGGGTCTTTTTGAAGAAAAAGATAAAATATATGAACAAACCAAATGGCAATGAATACATATCTATCGCCAGTGGAATCCACAAACAAAATGAACAGGTAGAACAGAAACATTCTCATAGATACAGAGAACATTTTGTTGGTTGCCAGATGGGAGGGGGTTGGGGGAATGGGTGAAAAAGGTGAAGGGATTAAGAAGTACAAATGCATTGCTAGACTGACAAACCTTAAAGGGAAAGGGGTTGGGGGGGTGGATAGAAATAAACCAAAGAACTTATATGCATAACCAATGAACACAGACAATAGTGTGGGAAAAGGCGGGAGGGGAGCGGGAGTGGGGAGGAGGGGGTCAATGGGGGAAAAATGAGGAACATCTGAAATACATTCAACAATAAAGATTAAAAACAAAAACAAAAACAAAAAAAGCAAGAAATGACCAAACAAATTCATAGATAAACAACAATATGGTGATTATCAGAAGGGAAGGGGTTGGGGGAAGGACAAAGAGGGTAAAGGGATCAAATATACGGTGATGAAAGGAGACTTGACTTTGGATGGTGAGCACACAATGAAGTGTACAGATGCTGTATTATATAGTTGTACACCTAAAATTTATATGTCATTAGCCAGTTACCCCAATTAATTTTAAAAAAGAAATAATAAGGCTTAACAATGCAGTAATAAAAAATGCAAAGCAGAGAATAATTCAAGGCATTTTGATCCAAAGTGTTGAAAAAAATATTTCAGCCCTGGCCGGTTTGGCTCAGCGGTTAGAGCATCGGCCTGCGGTCCGGAGAGACCCGGGTTTGGTTCCCACTAAGGGCATATACCTGGGTTGCAGTTTGTCCCCGGCCCTGGTTGGTCGTGCGGGTGGCGACCACTCTATGTGTCCCTTTCACATCGATGTTTCTCTCTCTCTCTGTTCCTCTCTCTCCTTCCCACTCTATCTGAACAAAGAATGGAAAAATGTCCTCGAGTGAGGATGATTAAAAAAATATATATATATATATATTTCATTTATTTCCATAGTCTTCTAATCACCGATAAATATTGGCCATAATTCCATTACTATTTCTAATTTCACCAAACATGTTTTCTTTTCTTTTTTTTTTTAATCTTCACCCGAGGACATTTTTCCATTTTTTGTTCAGATAGAGCAGGAGGGAGAGAGAGGAAGAGAGAGAGAGAGAGAAACATCGACGTGAAGGGACACATCGAGTGGCTGCCACCCGCAGGACCAACCAGGGCCGGGGACAAACTGCAACCGAGGTACATGCCCTTAGCGGGAACCGAACCCGGGTCTCTCTGTACCGCAGGCCGACGCTCTAACCGCTGAGCCAAACCGGCCAGGGCTCACCAAACATGTTTTCAATGCGGAACCACCTCTTTTTAAATAGGGAATGAAATAAAAGACTTTCAGTAGAAAGAGGATTAATTAGAAAATGTTTTGTCACCTGAAACTAATATAATATTAGTGCTGATGGATCAGATTGATATCAAAAATAAAAAAAGACCCCAGGGCAGCAAATGAGAAAAAAATATTCCAAGGGATTGGAACTGAAATATACCTGTGCTTGGGACAAAATCAGTTATTTAAAACAAATTACATAAAAATGAATACTGGCCCACCCCAAAAGTTTGGAGATGATCTTTCTGGCCTTTTCTAGTCCCAAGGAACTGTGTTTATAAAGTCCTACACAAAGAAAGCACGTCTGGAGTGTGGGGCTTTTATGCTGCGATGCCCCAAACCATTCAAGCCTCATCCAAATCACCTTTGAGGCCCTCGGCAAAGAGGACCTAGACACATGGCAGAGTCCAAATAGCCTTCATTCAGGACGAGCCTGACACCGTTCTTCAGACTTTTTAATAAACAGGGCAAAACTGAACTTTTCCCTCCAACATCAACATTACCTGCTGTGGGAAACGGAGGGAATAGCTAGTTTATTTGCCCGTTCACTGCTTTGAAGCTTTGTCCTTAATTCATTCATCTCTGCATCTTTAAACTGGAGTTCAGACTGCAGTGATTGGAGCTGGAAGGCAAAGACACATATTTCATCATATAGACATCACATTTACAAAAATATCTCTGGGCTTCAAAATCTCAAGCTAACGAAAAACAAACAATGAGTAATAAGAATAAAAGTCTGCTGTGATGTAAATGCTCTAAAGTATAAAGCTTTAGCCTTCTTTCTGAAAAACAGCATGATATTCTGGAAATACCTATCTTCATGGTTGGGGGGGTTAAATAATAATAATGACTGTCAAATGCTCAGCACAGAGCTTGACGAGGTGCCATATCTCAAAATAACATGCTGACCCTTTAATGAATGTAGTGGTGCACAATTCCAGGTCTTCTTGAAAGTCAGGACAGAGCATTTGGAAGGGTTTCACGAAACCCTGTGCAGTGTGTGGAGACTTGCTGCTCTGGCCTGCAGGGCCCACAGCCCACAGTAGCTGCTGTCACTCCTGGGCACACTCTGTGCCAGGCACAGCACCAGACACAGTAAGTGCAGAACCACTTAGTCTCACAAAAACCCTTCTGGTTATTTTCTGGGATAAGGGATATGAGTCACAGAATTTAAGTCATTACCATGAGGTCACCACTGTGTGTGATAAAGCCTGGAATCAAACTATGGTTTGTCTGACTGCAAACCCCTTGCTCTTCATCATGTATATGGAAAGGCCACCACTGCTATTAGTACTGGGCACAGGCAGTGCTTCTTTAAAGTTTGCTGAAAGAAGTAATGGCAGAATAAGATCCCATGTCCTTGAGACTGAAGACTTGGAAAGTGTTGAAAGAAAGTGGTGGTATACTCACTGGACACATACTTTTTCTTCCCAGAAGAGCATCTCCCTCCCCTGGAAAACAATCATTTCCCAACCTCTGACTATGTGATTTGAATGAGAGCTATTGTCTCTGTGGTTACAGTGACTGGTTCAGGGGCAGGCACCTGACTCAGGTTAGACCAAGTTTAAATTTTACAATTTCCCCAGCATTTTAAAACTACAGATGGGAGTCCAAGTCTTCAGTCTACTCTGGGCTATGAAATGTAAGCCCAGGAGCTTCCAGAGAACACAGCCTCTAGCACAAGGATAGAGCCTGTTGATAGTATGGAGAATACAGATGAGTCTTAGCAAGGCTTGAGCCAGTTGAGGCCCCAGCACACCCATTTTCCCTAGACTTAGTTATGGAAGCCAATACCTTTCCTTCTGGCATAAGCTAGATCAGTTGAGTTTCTGATCTGCCAAAAGAGCCCTAATTTAAACCTATTTCTGAAAAGTCTAAGCTAGTGATTTATTTCTTCCAAGACCAACTACCACAGCAAAGCAGTTCCATTTAAGTCCTTTTCCAAACCACATGCAGAGCCTGAAGAAAAGGACATGCAATGAGTAGGCAGCAGAAAATATTTAACACGAAGAACTGTTGAAATCTTTCTAGAATAATATTTACAGACAACTTTGGTCATTGTTTCTAAAGGAACTCAGTGAACAGGCCAAGTTGATGTCCATAATGATCAAAACAAATGCTCTGGATCACCTTTTTGGAGAATTCCTTTTCTTTGTCACTGAGTGCCTGAGTTTTCTCTTGCTCAAGAAAGAAATGTGATCTTCTCTGTTCCTCTAAAGTGGATTCTGTCTGATGTAGGGAGTCCCGCAAAATTTTAATTTCTCCATTTTTAATGAGAACTTCTTCTTCCATTGCCTTCATCTGTAAATCCCAAATCAATCTTATGAAAAGTTTGTAAAAGAAAATTATATATGTACTTATTTCAACATGTAGCTGGGGAGATGGTGAAAGCCCATGTAAAACGTGTCTATAGACCAATGAATGCTCAAAATACCTGTACCAACCAGACGTCACCATGGTTTGCTAGGCCCATTCATAGAACATCTGATATTCAGCAAGAAAGCTTAAAGACATATGACACTCACACATGAGATTCTGTAGGCTCTAGTAAGTCTTAAACAATCTGGGTCACACACTTCACAGAAGTAAAATTCCACATTATGTTCCTGGTTTTCCTAGGGACCCAGGTTGGTCATACGAAGAATTTCTTTTCGCCCTGGCCAGTTTTGCTCAGCGGTTAGAGTGTCGGCCTACGGTTCAGAGAGATCCGGGTTCGGTTCCCGCTAAGGGCACGTACCTCGGTTGCAGTTTGTCCCCGGCCCTGGTTGGGTTGTGTGGGTGGCAGCCACTCGATGTGTCCCTTTCATGTCGATGTTTTTCTCTCTCTCTCTCCCTCCCTCCCTCCCACTCTATCTGAACAAAAAATGGAAAAATGTCCTCGGGTAAGGATAAAAAAAAAAAAATTTTTTTTCAAAACTGCTAATGAAAATAGCAACCATTATGATGTGTTCCTTACATGACACATGCTATAAACTGATCTCTGTGCTAAAACAGGAAGTTTGTATCTCTTTTTGGGTCAGGTGCTCAGTGTTTCTTTTCTTTCCTGGTCTGTCAGGAATCTCAGGATTTAGTTTCTTTCAGCCATAATTTTCTGGTTTTCTTTTCCCAGATTACCCCATTTATGGGATGACTTCTAGTCTCTTGTTTTAAAACTTTATATATTTTATTGTGCAATGAATGCATAAGTGAATGAATTAGCTGTAAAAACCACAAGTAAAGTTACTTACCTTTTCTTTAAGTTCTTTGTATTGGGCCTGAAGTAACTCTAATTCAAAATTATCTTTAACTGGAACATTTTCTCTGTTTTTCCCTGCAGGAGTTTTGGACATCCCATCTAATCTGGAGATGTTATGAACACCTGTAAGAAATAATTCCCATATACTTTTTAGGACCCAACATTTTCCTACTTTTGCCAGACAATGCTGAAAAAAATCACTCTTGAAAGCAAATTAGAGAAAGATCTAGTAAGAAATACAGGTCTTGCCCTGGTTGGTTTTCTCAGTGGTTAGAGCGCCGGCCTGCAGTCCAGAGAGACCCAGGTTCGGTTCCCGCTAGGGGCACGTGCCTCGGTTGCAGTTTGTCCCCGGCCCTGGTTCGTCATGCGGGTGGCAGCCACTCAATGTGTCCCTTTCACATCGATGTTTCTCTCTCTCTCCCCCTCCCACTCTACCGGAACAAAAAATGGAAAACTGTCCTGAATGAGGATTAAAAAAAAAAAAAAGAAATATAGGTCTTTTCCAACCTAGGAATATGATTCAAACTCATAAATGATCTTTATGAAATAACAGATCCTTCACCCTCTCCCTATCACCCACCCAATTTTTTTTATTTTTTATCCTCACCCAAGGACATTTTTCTATTTTTTGTTCAGATAGAGTGAGAGGGAGAGAGAGAGAGAAAAACATGGACGTGAAAGGGACACATCGAGGGGCTGCCACCCGCACAACCAACCCGGGCTGGGGACAAACTGCAACCGAGGTACAGGCCCTCAGCGGGAACCGAACCCAGGTCTCTCTGGACTGCAGGCCGACACTCTAACTGCTGAGTCAAACCAGCCAGGGCTGTTTTCATTGATTTTAAGGGAGAGGGAGACAGAAACATACATCGACTGTCTCCTGCAGGCCCCCTACTGGGGATCGAACCCACAATCTGGGTATGTTCCCTGACTGGGAATAGAACCTGCCACTTTTGGTACATGGGTAAACACTCAACTACTGAACCACACTGGCTGGGTGTCACCCACCCAATTTTAAGTCTCATTTAAATACTGAGAGGCACTGTGAAGATCTCGCTGGTCAGAATTCAGCAGTCTATTACTCAACAATATTTACTGAGCACTTACTATATGCCAGATGTGATTAGTCTCTAACAGTACAATGGTGAGCAAAATGGATTGTCCTTACACTCATGGATCTTACAGGACTTTAAAAAAGAAGCACATGTATATATAAATGTAAAATTACAACTGTAAGAACAGCTTTGGAGAACAAATATAGGAAAGCCTATATTAGGGGGATTTGATCCAACTGAATCATTGGAAGGCTTCCCTGAGGAAGTGATGACTGAGCTGAGAACTGAAGAACAAGCAGGAATTACCCAGATGAGTGGGGATGGAGAATGGATGGAAACAAAACTCAATGTACAAGAAACAGCAATGTGCAACATGTTTGCATTGTAAAGAAGCAGAGAGAATTCAGGAATAAAGGAAGGTCAGTCAGTGTGGCTAAAACCCAGAGAGGAAGAGGGAAAGGGACAGACCATGCTGGGCCTGTCAGGCCACATTAAGGATGAGGACATTTTCCCATTTTTGTTCAGATAGAGTGGGAGGGAAAGAGAGGAAGAGAGAGAAACATCGACGTGAAAGGAACACATCGAGTGGCTGCCATCCGCACGACCAACCAGAGCCGGGTACAAACTGCAACCGAGGTACACACCCTTAATGGGAACCGAACCTGGGTCTCTCTGGACCGCAGGCCGACACTCTAACCGCTGAGGCATACTGGCCAGGGCCACATTAAGGATTTTGATCTTTATACTAAAAAAGTGGGAAGTCATTACAGGGCTTTCAATAAAGGTGTTCACATGTATCAGTGTGAGACACAGCCAGAATTAAGTTTTGAAAAGATCACTCTGGTTGTGGTGTGAAGTCTGACTTGTAGGGAGTCAAGACTGGAACTGGGAAGACAATTTAGCAGACTAGTGTCCAGGGAGGGGCAATGATAACTTAGATCAGGGAGATGATGCAAACAGGATGGAGTCGAGATAGATTAAGAGGGTAAAGTTACAGGATTTGGGAAGGAATTAGATGAATGGTCAAGGAAAGGGAACTGTCGCCTTGTGCCGGCTGATGGACAGCGGTGCTAGTCATTGTTGTGTGGAACATTTGATCATCAGCCAGTGTTTTCTGTCTGCTTTGCCAGGCACCATGCTGGAGATGCTGGAGGATGACTGGATTTCTAGGAAATGACTGCACAATTTAAGATGCCTGTGAGACAACCAAGTAGGGATGCAAGGTGACTGCAAAATCTTTCTCTTTCTGGGAGCCCCACAAGACTTCATTCATTTCCCAACTAGAATGAAAGCTCCATGAAGGAAGGAATTTTTGTCTTTTGCTCATTGCTAAGTGTGCTGCAGTTTCTAAGGTTTGGGCACCGAGTACAACTTATTTGTTGTATAAAAGAATTAGTCTCTTTTATTTCCTGGCTCTGCCAGATCCCTCTTATGCTCATGCGGTTCAAGGGGGACAGAGGTCTTCATTAGATCTAAAGCCTCCCACGCCTGTTACAAGAATGGGTCTCCAAGCGTAGGCAGTGATGGTTCTGATGGTGGTGGAGTCATGTTCCAAGGATCTCTGTTAGAACTAAGAACCTAGTGGCCCTAATTTCAGAAACTAAAGTAAAATATTAACCTAACTTTTTATATTTCAAATCGATTGTTTGACACTCCTGACCCATTTCTCCCCCAAAATCAAAGGATCTTTTGGGATGCAACTGCTGCTTAAATCAAGCTGTTCCTGTATTTTATTTTATTTTTTAATGTTTTTATTGATTTTTTAGAGAGGAAGAGAGAAAAACATCTATGTGAGAGAGATACATCTATTGACTGCCCCCTGCACGCCCCCAACTGGGGATCGAGCCTGCAACCCAGGCATGTACCCTCCCCGCGAACGGAACCAGGCCCTCAGTCCATGGGATGACGCTCAATCCACTGAGCCACACCGGTGGGGCTGTTCCTGTATTTTAGAAAGGTGAAGGGGCGGTGTGGGTGCAAGACACCGAGGGCAGCGGTCACCATAGGTTCTGAAGCCACAGCCATCATGGTGTCTGGCGAGGTCTGCATCACCCTCAGGGAAAAGCCCCCTAGGTGCACTCACTGGACACGTCCCGAGCCGCGGGCGGGCACTGGCTCAAGGCCTGTGACGCCAGGGTGTCGAGCTCCTCCAGGTCGTCCGCGGTGAAATCCCCGTGAAGGCCGAACGGGTCTTCGGGGTCCAGAGCTGGGGCCGCGGGGAAGCCACGGGCCCGCTTGCTCGGAGGCTGCCCGGTGCTGGGCGGCGGGCCAGGGCTGGACGCCAGGGGCCCGCTCCGCCTCCGGCTGCCCGGCGCAGGGGTTCCAGCCATGCCTGCCGCCGAACAGTCTCCGAAGGCACAGAGCCGAGTAGGGTCGCCGCGTGGCCGGAGAGCTGAACCAACCAACCGCCCGCGCGCCGCCGACCGCCTCAGCCTCTGGGGCCACGCCTCCAGCCCACGGGCCAATCAGCTGCAAAGATGCGAACGCGGGAAAATGACGCCACCCGCGCGCGCCGATGTGTTCCGCCTTGTGGCTGTCTTTCTTTGTCGCGCCCCACACCCGGGTACCTCCAGCTGGGACTCAGTTGGTCTGTGGCCCGGGCTTTGGGCGATCGGAGGTACCAGGGGTGTGAGTGCTGGGCTCAGCAGCCCCACCGCGCGGATACGCAGTCGCGCTGGAGGAGTTCGCCATGAGATTCACGTGTGCGCATGTGAATCGAGGCAGCCAGCATTCAGGAGTTTGGTTTCTGCCATCTCGCAGTCCTCCCTCCAGACCCTCTTGGGGTGGAGTCTAGCAGAGCGCGGTTGGGCAGGGAGAATGAATAGAACTGTTGTGAGTAGATATGTTGGAGAACAGTAAATGTTTGGAATGTGTACATTTGAGGTAGGTCTGGGGAAGAAAGTCTAATGGGAAGGGGTGATCCTGAAAAGGTTGTGCCTGCGTTGGAGGTGGGTGGGAGCTGACTGCTCAGGCAGTTAACATCATTCATTCATTTCTCTGAGAGGGCTTGAGTGTTTTTGTCCCAAGTGGTGGTCTTACAGAAATGAACGAGGCTCAGGAAGTCAAGGAAGGCCCCCTATAAGTGGCACCTGGGATCTCCTACAGGTTGAGTGGGCAAGGTGGCTGGCACACAAGACTACTCAGACAAGAATACAACACCAAAATGGAGGCCACACAAGTGCCAGGTAGAAGTTATCCATGGCAGAGAGAAGGTAAGGCTTCAAAGAGGGGTGGAGTCAAGCTGAGCTTGAGTGCCTGTCAGGATTTTATTGGGCAGGAGCCATGTGCAGGACAGTTAGCCGGGACAGGGTGCTGGAGACTTTCAGCATTGCATGCTTAGTGCCAAATGTATTCTGTAAGTGTCCTATTAATGCTTGTGAAAGCAGTAAATGAAAGGGAGATGTTTGTCAAGGCCTAGAGGGTCTTGAATACCTAAGTTTTTTTTGAAGTAATTGGTAATTTCCCTCAGATAGCTACCCAAATGTCGAATGCTGAAGTCATAATTGCTGCAGGTCTCTGGTCCTGTAAAGAGATAGGATTGTACTTGATTTGTCAGAAGGGATTAAGTTCCACTCTTAGGGACAGTGTACTGGCACTGGCTCTTGGAAGGGCCATTCTCAGCAGCACAGGGCTGGGTGCCAGCTGGCAAGGCCCCACAGGGAATGCCTCAAGTCCAAACAAGGTGCTGATGCTGTGCAACTTTCCAGGAGAGGTCCAAAGCAGGATTTTTTTTTTCTGCTAATATCAAGCACATTAGTCATAAAACAGGCTTCAATCTATAAAACCTTTTCTGTGTTGACTTAGCAAAATCTGACCAGTTCTAGGCCAGTTTGGCTCAACGGTTAGAGTGTTGGCCTGCGGTCCAGAGAGACTCAGGTTCAGTTCCTACTAAGGGCACGTACCTCAGTTGCAGTTTGTCCCTGGCCCTGGCTGGTCCTGCGGGTGGAAGCCACTCAATGTGTCCCCTTCACTCCATGTTTCTCTCTCTCTCTTCCTCTCTCTCCCTCCCACTCTATCTGAACAAAAAGTGGAAAAATGTCCTTGGGTGATAAAAAAAAGTCTGACCAGTTCTAGACTTTTTTGGGAACACATTCTCAGAAAGAGCTTAGCATTATTAGTATTCCCATAGTTGTATCGAGGGTTCTGGAGGGGAAATGCAGACTTGTGCCTCTGAATTATTTCAGTACATATGCATTTAGCATACATTATGGATGGCCTTTCATCCAGGAATTTATTCTGTGAGTCAAGGGTGATAACAAATGTCAGAAAAAAATTAAACAGGGTAAGACATTGGGACTGTCACTTTATATAAAGTGGTCAGATAGAATTCACTACTGTGATGTTTGAGTTCTCTAAAGGTAAAGGGAGTCTCCAGTATTCAGAAGAGTGACAGGCAGAAGAGTTGGTGACAATAGTGAGGCAGGAGCTTGCCTAGAATGTAGACCACTGAGGCTCAAAATGGATCAGGGTGAGGAATAGTAGCTATTAAAGGGCAGGGAGTGGTGTCCAGATCCTTTAGGGCCTCACTGTCATTGTAGACCGTGGCTTTTGCTCTAAGAAGCACTGAAGAACAAAGTAATGTATACATAACTTTACAATTTAGCAAGATCACTCTGGGTCCTGAGTAAAGGTTAAACTGTAGTGAAGCAAGGGTAGGAAAAGGAAGACCAATTTGGATATGATTGCAATAATCCAGGTGAAGGATTTTAGGGTTGGGGGGTTGTTAACTGGAAAAAGTATGAAGAGGCAAGATTTAATTTGCCTGATCGGTTGAATGTGGGGTATAAGATACCAGAATGGAGGAAGGACCTTTCTGAAGCCCTCGTGTAAATGCAGAACCATTTCCTACTTGGTTCTTAAACTTTCAGGAATCTCCTTCCCCCAGTTTACTTCCCTTCATAGAGCATGTCATGTGTATTTGTCTGCTTCCCTCCTATGGACAAGTTCCTTGACAACAGGACTGTTTGCTGGTACAAGCCTAGCCTGCATATAGCAGACTCTTTTTTAAAAATATATTTTTTATTTATTTATTTAATTTATTATTTTTTTAATCCTCACTCGAGGACATTTTTCCACTTTTTATACAGATAGAGTGGGAGGGAGAGAGAGGAAGAGAGAGAGAGAAACATCAATGTGAAAGGGACACATCGAGTGGCTGCCACCCACACAACCCAACCAGGGCCGGGGACAAACTGCAACCGAAGTATGTGCCCTTAGCGGGAACCGAACCCAGGTCTCTCTGGACCGCAGGCCAACGCTCTAACCGCTGAGCCAAACCTGCCAGGGCTATTTTTTATTTTTTTTTAGAGAGAGGAAAGGAGAGAGAAAACATCGATTCACTGCTTCCTGCACACCCTCCACCGGGGATCGAGCCCACAACCTGGGCATATGCCCTGACTGGGAATTAAACCCAGACCACTCAATCCATGGGATGACACTCAATCTACTGAGCGACACCATCCGGGCTACAGCAGACTCTACATGAACAGATGAACAACCCCATTAAAACAGATGGCAGCCCTGGCCGGTTTGGCTCAGTGCTTAGAGTGTTGGCCCCCCAGACCAAAGAGTCCCGGGTTCAGTTCCCACTGAGGGCACATACCTCGGTTGCAGTTTGTTTCTGGCCCCGATCGGGGTCATGTGGGTGGCAGCCACTCAATGTGTCTCTCACGTTGATGTTTCTCTCTCTCTCTCCTGCTCTATCTGAAGATAAAAGGAAAAAAAAAAAGTCCTTGGGTGAAGATGAAAAAAAGAAAAAAAACAGATGGCAACATGGATTTTCATAACAGAGGATGGCTTTTCTTTCCAAAATACAAATTCTTACACTAACCTCATGTAAAGTATTCCACTGGATATACAACCACACAAAAACGACAGCCATTTCAAATGAGTTAAGTTTAATTCCAGGTGGTACAGAATTCCCAATGGAACAAAGACTGAAGAACACACTTGGGCAGGATTCTGGGCTGGGTTTACTCTGACCTCACAGCTAAGGTTGAAACGGCAGAGTGAGAACTAAAGAGATGAGCCACTGCATGATTATTATTACTATTATTATTATTATTTTTTTTTACAAAAGTTTATTCTTAAATGTACAACAGGCTCCAAGACAACACTTCATTCTAGCTATGGATGGCAAGAGATGTTATGGCAGGAAATCCAGATGTTAAAAAAAGGAATGGAATTAAGGATCGCCATTGCCCCAGGCACAAGGAACAGCTCACTTTTTGCCAGATTTCTTAATTCCACCTGTGGCTGCAAAAGGAAAAAAAGTCAGTTAGAGAAAAACAGTTCTTATGGTAGAAACCCCAGGGACCTGATCTGGATCCCAGGAAGGCTCAGCTCTCACATTGGGCATTCTTTCTGACACAGCATGTTCAGGACTTTACCGATATTATCTATTCTGGGTAAAAGTAGAATGAGGATAAGGCAGGGGCACAAGTAATGGCTGTTCACTGGTCTGGAGCTACACAGTGTTGTGTACTTCACAGACTGGCTCATTTAATCTTCACCTTCTACCAATCCATTTTACAAATAATGAACTCTTAGCTGTTGTTCAGAGTTATAAACTGGTATGTGATGATGGCAGGATTCCAACCCAGGTAGTATGACCCCCCCAATCCATATTCTTGACTGTCACATCAAAAATCTATACTATGATCTTAGGGTCTGGTTTACTCACAATGTTTATTTTACCTCATTTACACATGACTATATATTTGGCACACAGTAAGTAATTTAAAAAAATAATTATAGAATTAAGTACACCTAATATAGGGATGAAGATCCTACTGTGACAGAATAAACCTTAAATTAGATGATATTCAATAGAAACAAATAGTATGGGATTTCACCAAGAATTGGCCTCTCTAAATATAATCACAGATTAAGGGAAGGTGCAAGACATCTCATCACTTCATTCAAAAAGGAATCTCAGTGCTGTGTGGATAGACAATACTGAATTAAACCTACTGGGTTATAAGTCTTGGGAAACCGTAGATGACACCCACCATCCCAGTCTCTACTGCCCCCGGTGTGGCTCACAATCAATCAAAAGGGCATAGATAACTGGAGGAAATAATAATTAATTTGATTAATATAAACTGCATTTAAGAAGCAGATATGTCCCTGGCAGGTTTGACTCAGCAGTTAGAGCATTGGCCTGCAGACCAATAAGATGCAGTTCGTCCCTGGCCCTGGTGGGGGTCATGTGGGAGGCAACAAGTGGATGTGTCTGTCTCACATCAATGTTTCTCTCTATCTCACTCTCATTCTATCTGAACAAAAATGGAAAAATATCCACAGGTGAGGATTAACAAAAAAAAGAACCAGATGTGGCTCAGTGGCTGAGCCTGGACTCATGGACCAAAAGGTCATTGGTTTGATTCCTTATCAGAGCACAAGCCCAGGTTTCCTGCCCAGTAGAGGTTGTACAGAGGCAGCCAATCAATGTTTCTCTCTCTCCCTCTCCCTTACTGTAAAAAAAAAAAAAAAAAAAAGGTACAGAAAATATTGGGGCTGCTGAGCTTGAAAAATCCTTTGATCTGAATTGCTCTTACATAAAGAAAGAACGTGCAGAATAGTAGGCAATTAAGTTTTTAAAAAGCACAGAGAGCAATCGCAAGACAAGAAGCCTGTACTTTTTATTTTTGTGCAGGAGCATCTAGAAGTAAAATGACTAAGAATGTAAAAGTATTTATCAGCGTTAACAATGAGTAGTAAGTCCTTAAGCAGTGAAACGCGACTTTGGGACAATAACTGTGGAGGATATTTGGAAACAGGACTGTACGAATTGTGTGTAAGATATCATTTCCGCCGCTTTTTTAAGGAAAGGGTAGCCCAGACTGCCTTGGAAGCAGATTTGTTTCCATACCCCGTCTGGCTCCCACCCATTCCTGCTGTGGCGAATCCAAGCCTGGCTAGGGCGTCCGCAACAGTGGATAGGAAGCACCGAAACCTCACCACTCACCAACGAGGCAGGAGACCGACCTGCTCAGCCCGCGTTCAGACTGATGCACAGAACATTTGTCCGGCTTGGGCTCTACCTGGCCCTCACTTACCCAGGGGGCCCTTCCCCGCAGCCTTCGCTTTTAGCTCCTCAAGTTTCTTCTGCTCCTCTTTCTGCTTCTGCTTGAATGCCTTATCTTCCTGGGGAGAAGCAGAGCGGATTCACTCCAGGCGGGTTTCCCAGGCCCTCCCCGCCCGCCCACGCCTCCGCGTGGCCCTCACCTCGTCCATCTCTTTGGCTTGCTTCTTGGGCTGCTTCAGGGGCTTCTTCTTGCCACCTGTGGGCGAAACAAGCTCGCTCATCCGGGCCCCCGCCGGGTCCCGTCCGGTCCCGTCCCACCCCGCCCCGCCACCCCCGCACACTCACCTTCGCGGCCGGACATGGTGCCTACCGCCCCTTCCCCAGACCCTGCCACCGGAAGCTGAGCTCCCTGTCCCACCCCTGCGCCTATGCCTCCACGCGGGCCCGCTGATTGGCTCCTAGTCAGGAAGTTGCCTTCTTGCTGCCGGAAAAGGCCTTCTGGAGGCGGGCACTAAAGGCTCAGAGATCAATTGAGTGGCGGGTGCTCCGTTGGGTTTGCAGCTGGGACGCTAGGCGGGCCAGGTATGGGGAGTGGGGTGGTCCTTCTGCCAGGGGAGGTCCGGAAGCCAGGAAAGGTGCTTAACCGGAAGGCGCTGGGCCTTGGCCCGTGCCGGGGGGAACGCTGTAGGAAGAGGGAAGGGCTTGTGCAAAGGCCTTGAAGCTTGGCGCGTTCCTGGAACCTAGGAAAGCGTAGCCTGGCCAGGGGAGATGCAAGGGAGGTGGCAGAGTCGGGATTAGATCACCAGGTTCTAGAGTTTTGGAGGCCACCCGAAGGAGTTTGGGTTTTAAAATATAGTCCAGGTTGCAACTTTTTGCAAACTCTGTTTATTCATCCAATACATTTTTGTTGAGTATGTACTGTGTGCACTGAGTATGTACTGAGTATGTATTCTAGGCACTGAAGATGCAGCAGTGGACAAAACAGTGCCTGTCCTGGCAGAGCTGACATCCTGGTGGGTGAGACAGACTATAAGCCAAGTAGATAAGTGAAATACATAACATAGGTCATGTGTTATGTGCGTGGAGAAAATTAAAACAGAGAAAGTGTGTAAGGAGTGCTGTGATGGGGGAAGGGGGCAACGACATTTGAGCAGGTCTTGAAAAAAGGCAGGGAATAAGCAGTACAGATAGTGAAAGCTGGTGTCTGTGGTTGGGAATAGCCTAGTGTGTTCCAGCCATATCAAAAAGTCCATGCAGCCCTGACCAATCTGGCTCAGTGGTTAGCCGAAACAAAGGGTACAGGTTTGATTCTCGGTCAAGGGCACGTATGTACCTGGGTTGCAGATTCGATCCCTGGCCACAGTTGGGATCATGTGGGAGGCAACCAATCAATGTATTTCTTTCACATTGATGTTTCTCCTCCCCCTCCCCCCTTTCACTCTATCTAAAAAATCATTGGAAAAATATTCTTGGGTGAGGATTAACCAAAAAAACAAGTCCATGCATGGTAATTATGTGAGGTGAAGGATGTATTAGCTAACCTTATTGTGGCAAACATTTAGCAGTATGTAGGTGTAGCAAATTATCCCACTGTACACCTTAAACTTAAACAATGGTATATGTCAGTTATATCTCAATAAAGCTGGGGAAGGGGACGGTCCCTTGTGACTGAAGTAGAGTGAGGAGAGACTAGTGGGAGATGAGGTCAGAGAAGAATGAGAGCCAGGAGGTGGAAGCCCTGTAGGCCATGGAAAGGATTTGCTTTCACCTTGAGAGAAATGGGGAACCACTGCAGGGTTTGAGCAGGGAGAGACGTGCTTTGAAAGGACCACTGCTCTGTTGATAGTACACAGACTGTAGGGGCTAGAGTAGAAGCAAGGAGACCTGTCAGGAGGCTCCTAGCATGACCCAGGCAAAAGATGTTGGTCATTGGGACCAGGTGTTTGCAGTGGCAGGGGCAAGAGGAAGAGGGATTCTGGATTTAGAAAGGAAGTGGTGTTAGCTGTTGGATTGGATGTGAGGTGGGAGAGAGAGACGAGTCAGGGAGGATGAGAGATTTTGGGCCTGAACTGGACTTGGGGTTTCCATCGACCAAGATGGAGAAGGATGTGGGAAAGGCAAGTTTGGGAGGGGAAGCTAAGAACCCCATTAGCCTTCCAAGCAGAAATGTGGATTGGGCAGTTTATTAAATGAGCCTGGAATTCAGAGGAGAGATCTGAGCTGGTAAGTCAGTATAGCTGGTTTTTATTTTTAAGTAACTGCTTTATTGAGATGTAATTTACCTATTTAATGCGTACAGTTGTGCAACCATCACTACAATCAGTTTTAGGACATTTTAATAGATGGTTTGTAAAGTCATGGGAGTAGATAAGAGAGAATTCTGAGGATCAATTCCTGGGCACTCTGTGGAAAGGTTAGGGAGGTGAGTGAAGATTGGAAGCCAAGTATTGAAGACGTTTCAGAGAGAAGGGAACTGTCATGAGGCACAGGCTGCTGACAGGGCAAGTGATGAGAAAAGAACTTGTCATTGGATTTAGCAGTGTGGAGATGACCTGGCCCAGAGAAGTTCTAATGGTATGGTGGGAGTGAGGCCAGGTCAGAGAGAGTATAAGAGAGAAAGGGAGGCTCGGCTGGTGTGGCTCAGTGGATTGAAGGTCATCCCTTCGACTGAGAAGTCCCAGTTTGATTCCTGGTCAGGGCACATGCCCGAGTTGCAGGCTTGATCACCAGTAGAGGGCGTGCAGGAGGCAGCCGATGGATTTTCTCTCTCTCTCTAAAAATCAATAAAAACATTTTTTAAAAAAGAGAGAGAGAGAATGGGCTCTGGCCGGTTTGGCTCAGTGGTTAGAGTGTTGACCCACAGACCAAAGAGTTGCAGGGTTGATTCTGGTCAAGGGCACGTACCTCAGTTGTGGCTCAGTCCCCGGCCCTGGTTGGGGTTGTGTGGGAGGTGGCCAATCGATGTGTGTCTCTCACGTTGATGTTTCTCTCTCTCTCCCCCTCCCACTCTATCTGAAGAAAATGAAAAAATATCCTCAGGTGAGGATTTAAAATTAAAGAAGAGAATGGGCCCAGCCAGTGTGGCTCAGTGGTTGAGTGTTGACCCATGCACCAAGAGATCACTGGTTCGATTTCTGGTCAGGGCACATGCCTAGGTTGTGGGCCCAATCCCCAGTGGGGGGCATGCAGGAGGCAAGCAATCGATGTTCTCTCTCATCAATGTTTCTCTCTCTTTCCCTCTCCCTTCCTCTCTCTCTAAAATAAATTTTTAAAAAGTTAAAAAAGAAAAGAGAATGGGTAAAGAGAAACTACAGTGAGTATAGACAATCTGTCAGGGAGTTTGGCTGTAAAGAGGAGCAGAGAAGTAGGGCAGTTGTTAGACAATTACTGAGCAGTGTCTGAGGAGGGGAGTGGAAATGGGACCTGGGGCCCAGCTTGGTCTGCTCTGGAGCATAGGTTCACATAGGTTCTTCATCTTGAGGAACAAGAGAGAAGGTGGAAATTGGACAGACAATGGCAGGTGGGAAGGTGTGGTTAAGTTCCCTTGCAACTTAAAATATTTTCTTGATGGAAAAAAATGAAGCAAGCCATCAGCTGCACAAGAGGATGAGGTACAGATGAGGGAGGTTGAGGAAAGGGCATTTGGTGGAGGCAGTCATCTGGATGGAGGGGCAAGATCTGAACCTGGGCCTCAAGGCCTTGCTTAATTTGGCCTCTGTCCATCTCTCCAGCCTCTCGTCCATCCACTCCCTTCTCTGCTTCTTTCCAGCTGCACTGCTCCCTTTCAGGCTTTAGAGACCTCAAGCGCTTTTCTACTCTTTCCCTCTGCCAGGAACATCTTCCTTGTTTGGGGGACTTGTGAGACATCTCAGTGGGAAGGAGCTGGGAGATGGGCCTGGCTGGAAGGTGGGAGGCTGAGAGGAGGGACTGGAATGGGAGAACAACTTGGGGGTCATTGGTATGTTCCCTCATGATGCAAAGTCCTGCTGTCACCAAGCTTATGTTCTAGTGAAGGGCTAGGTGATACATAAGGAAGGCAATATGTGTCTGATGGAGAAAAATAAAGCAAGTGATTTGGCGAAGGAGGGAGTGGTCAGGGAAGGTCTTGCCCAGAGGTGATATTTGAGCAAAGACATAGAAGTCAGGGTGAGCCAACTGGACTTGTGGAGGAAGAGTGGTCCAGGTAGAGGAAGTGGCAAGGCTCAGGCAGGATCATGCTTAGCATGGTAAGGTTGCTGGAGGGGAGTGCAGGAATAGAGAGAAGGAAGAGGATGAGGGCGTGGCCACCGGCAGGACTGGTATTTATGCCAGGTGAGATGGGAACTGAGGGATGTGATCTGACTTAGGAGTTAACAGCCTCTGGTTGCCAGAGGGGCAGGGGAGGAAGCCAAGACTTCATAGGAGGCTGTAAATGTCATCTCTGCCGGGGATGGGTGTTCGTCTGGGGTCCAAGACTGGATAGTTGGTAGAGGAAGAATTGGGAAAGAGGCTAAGAAAGTTGGAGAAAGTGAGAAGCGGGAGTGATTTCAAAAAGAGAGGGTGTGGAAAGCTGCAGAGATATTGGAGAAATCTGAGAAGCTCCTGCTGGATCTGGCCAGGTGGACGTTTTGCGGGGCCTCCAGGAAAGCAACCTTGATGGAATGGGATCAAGAGAGAAGAGGGTTGAGGAAGTAGTGACAGCCAAGGTGGACACTTTCAGCTGAGTGTTGCTTAGGAGAGTGGTGCTGTGGTGGGCAGAGCTGAAGGCTACGTGCTTTGCTCTGATGAGGGACACACCTGCATGATTGTTGTGGGATCACTGCTTATGTGCAGTGGGCACTGGCATTGAGGCCTAGGTGGTTTGCCTGACCACTGGGGCACGGATGACATTTTCTCCCTTGAGCCTTATGACTGGGACTCAGGGGTTCAGGTGCAGCACTAACTTGGAGCCATTGTTACAGGGATGCCCCCTTCTGCGGCTCTCGGCTGGGCCCATTTTGTCCAGGAGGTATATGCCTACCCAACCAGCGTAGTTTTCAAGAGGACTTGCACTTCTCCAAGCACAGCATGGGGAGAAGGCTGGGATGCTCTGACCCATCTCTGTTCCACTTCACCTACATCAGGAAGCCCCCTTGTAACTGGAGCATCTCTGATTTGTCTTCCTGTCCCATTTTCTCTAGCCTGGTTGTTTGGCCACCAGGTGTCACTCTGACAGTCAGAGTCAGTAGTTGGGGGCTTGTCGGGAAGAGGAGTGGTTTGGCCAGAGGAGGGTGCTGCTGGCTCATGTTTGCCTGGGCGCACTGGTCACATGGCCCTCTCTTGGGAAGTAGGGTTCCTCAGAGTCACGGCTGCTCTGGGGCTCAGCAAGGCCTAAGTGGAGAATGGGAGACTCCCTGTGCTGTTCATTCGGGTGGAGAAGTAGGCGTTGTTGGGCCCCAAACGTCAAACTGACGTTGACAAGGGAGAGGTTAGAGAACCTAACCTATTGGGCAGTGACAGGTTGGCGAGGAGGGAGAAAGCTCATGGGCAGTGAGAAATGTGAGCCTGGGACTCAGTAACCCTGAGAGTGTGGGCTTGGAGGGCAGAAGGAGAAGGGCGGGTGTGAACCTAAGAAAAGTTGTCCTCTGTGCAGAAATCTGCCCCCCCCCCCGAATGTCTTAGAGGAGAGCTGAGGAGGAGAGGCCTTTCTGCTTGGGACACAGATGACCTCTGTCCTCAAACGTAAGCTACATCCTGCTTCCCAGATGCTGCGGCACCTCCAGGGAGTCTGGGAAGTTGGTTTTGATCATCTTTTACAGGAGTCTGCCCCTGAAATACCATCAGTTCCACAGTTCCATAGGGAGTTTGTGGGGCTTTGTCAGCATCACAACTCAGGTCGGAGAATTTTCTTTGTCGTTATCAGAAACCTGGGCACCAGAATTCTTATCTGAGTCATAACAGACCTTCGGTGTGGGTGCAGTAGGAGGTCTGGTTTGCGTGGCATCGTGGAGGGAGGTGGGAGGCATGGTTTCCTAAATACGTCTGTGTGCTTCCCTAATGTGCCCCTTTGTCTGAGCGCTGGGGTTGGGGGAGCGGGCAGCCTGACCACAGTAGAGGCTGCAGCCTCCAGGCCCAGCAGAATAGCACTAAGTTTGGACCTTTTAATGGAAGGTAGTTCGTTCAGAACTGACCCTAGGCTTGAAACGTGACCAGCCTTTCTCGGCTGCAAGCTGATCTGACTGCTGTTCCCCACAGATCTCCCGATGACAGGGTGCAGCCCCGTGTCTGCCATGCAGTACGTTGTGGGTGTGCCCCCTATACTGGTGCGGAGAGGCCTCCTTGGAAGGGACTTCTTGACGAGCAGGACTCTGTGTAGCCCAGGCCCCAGCCAGCCCAGAGAGAAAAGACCTGTGGAGGTGGTGCTCAGGCTGTACCACCGCCTCTCAATGCTGGGAAGAGCCCTGGGGCACGGCATTCAACAGCGAGCATCCTCCACGGCCAAGACGTGGTGGGACCGATACGAAGAGTTCGTCGGACTCAATGAGGTTCGAGAGGCCCAGGGAAACGTGGCTGAGGTAAGGAGGGGGGCCCAGGTGATTGGCCTGCCCTGTGACTGGGGAAGTGTGGCCTGGAGGCTCCTGCAAAACAAGTCACCAGCCACATCCACGTGTGTCTTTTCTTGAACAAATACCACTAGTAGAGGACTGTGACTGTTTCTCACGTGGCAGCCTGGCTTTGCTACTCCTCGAAACCAGTTGCTGGACATGTGCCAGTGAGCCCTGGCCGTTAGCACCCGTCTGCTAGGCCAGCAGACACTTCCTGCATCGACTGTCTGGGTGAGGAGAGTTGCCGGGAGGGTTTCTGCCGTCCAGTGCTCTCAAAGCCCCGCGTGGAGTGGACACCTCCCTTGTGAAGGTGGAGGCCCTGGAGTCACCGAGCTGTGAGGGGAAAGAGCTGCCTGTGTTTGTCGAGCCCTCTGCGGCACAGAAGTGCCTTCTGCCGGCTCTGCTCCTGCTCCTGCCTCGGTGCAGACCAGTGCAGACCAGTGCAGCAAGGTGGGAAAGCCTGGGCTTGGCTGGAGGTCGGCACAGTGGCCGAGCCGGGTTTCTGGGTTGGTAAAACGGAGGCTGTAGCCATGCCCCTCCTGGCGCAGTTGTGAAGTGTGAATAAGGTAACGCCCAAAACATCGTAAGCGCACAGGTTTCTTTCTGTGGTTGGTGTCAGACTACAGCTGGCTGCGTGGGCGGACACAGATTGTGTGCATTCGTAGCTGTTTTCCAGTTTCTCAGGGCATGTTATTTCTACTTGAATGGATAAACCCAGTAATTCTGATGGGGGTGGCCCAGGCTGCACTTTGAGGTTGGCTGGGGGAGCCAGGGTTATGTTTCTGAGAAACAGTCTCCATCCTTTGCACTGACACCCCACTGACCTTTCTCCACCAGTCTTTTGGGGAATAGAGCTGAGCCCGTGGGTGGAGAGAGGCACAGTAGACTTCCACGGCTCTCTCCGCAGGCAGAGAAAGTGTTCATGGTGGCTCGAGGGCTTGTCCGCGAGGCTCAGGAGGACTTGGAAGTGCAGCAGGCCAAGCTGAAGGAGGTGAGGGACCGCTTAGACCGCATCTCCAAAGAGGATAACCAGTATCTGGAACTGGCTACTCTGGAGCACAGGATGCTGCAGGTAGGCACCTCGGGAGGCAGTCCTTCCTCCCCTGGACAGGGACCCTAGCCTGGCAGGTCATGCAGGGGCAAAGTGGGGACCCTGACTGCTCTGGTGGTCAGAGACCTGGTAAGGAGGTAAACCAGAAGCTCCTTGGGGCCTGGGCTCCAGGCCTCCTGAGCCTATCCACCCACTTCCTCCTGGAACACTGGGGTCAACAGTGCAGGACCCCAGATTGCTAAGGAGGGAGCACCATGGAGGGGGCTGGCCCAGAGAGTGCCATACACTTCCCTTCTGACAGACACATTCTCTAGACATCAGCACATGTCCAGTAGAAGCCAAGTCTGCTCTGGGAAGATAGTGCAGCCACCTCGACCACCCCCGATTCCTTTGCTCCCCCCGCACAACCGGGCTTATGCTGCCTTCATTCATTGGCACCCCTGTGCCAGGCACGGGGTTGCTGCTGTGTAACACAGCTTCGCTTCCTCAGGAGGAGAAGAGGCTGCGTGCAGCCTACCTGCGAGCTGAAGACTCCGAGCGAGAAAAGTTCTCCCTCTTCTCTGCGGCGGTGCGGGAGAGTCATGAAAAGGAGCGCACTCGGGCCGAGAGGACAAAAAATTGGTCCCTCATCGGGTCAGTCCTAGGAGCCCTGATCGGTGTGGCTGGCTCCACCTACGTGAACCGTGTGCGGCTGCAGGAGCTCAAGGCCTTACTCCTGGAAGCACAGAAGGGGCCTGTGAGCCTCCAGGAGGCCATTCGAGAACAGGCATCCAGCTACTCCCTCCAGCAGAGTGACCTCCATGACCTCATGGCGGACCTAAGGGGCCTAGTCCAAGCTGGGCTGGGGCAGAGCTCTGGGTCCCAGGCAGGTGCCTCCCCAGCCCGAGACAGAGACACAGATATCCTTTCAGCTGCCTTGAAAGATCAGCTCGGCCATTCCAGGCAGGTCCATTCCTGTCTAGAGGGTTTACGAGAGCAGCTCGATGGCCTGGAAAAGACTCTCAGCCAAATGGCTGGGGTGGTTCAGCTTGCAGAGGCTGCAGACCGAGCTCTGCCTGGCTCCTCGCTGGAGCAGGGGAGTACGGTCTTAGTGCTGTCGGACATGGAGCAGAAGCTAGAAGCCCAGGTCAACAGGAACACCATCTACAGCACACTGGTCACCTGTGTGACAATTGTGGCCACAATGCCTATGCTCTACATGCTCTTCAGGGCCAGCTAGCCCCTGGACCCTACTCCAGAGGGGAGGGGTGTGGATGTGGATTTAGTAGAGAACCCAGCAGTGAAGTGAGCCTTTGGGGGCGCACACAACCTCAGCCTGAGTGAGCACGCCCGGTGTGGCTCACCAGCAGGCACACTTTCCATTTTAGGCAGTGCTCATTTCTATTAATTATGAAAACTTTGTGCTAATGTCTAATTAAAATGTCTTTGAGTTCGTGTTATTTAAAATAATTTATATCAGACTGAGTTTTGTCTGTTGAAAATTGAGATTTAAGACTCGAGGGTTTGGTCTGGAATTGCAGTAATCTCCCCCTTTTGTTCCTCTCTCATCTCCTCTGGGTCTTCTCATTGGTTCAGGGCTGTTTGGGATGCATTTACCCTTGAGTCCTGGATTTTCATTTTGGGTTTCTTTTTTTTTTTCCAATCCTCACCCAAGAATATGTTTCTATTTATCTTCAGATAGATAGGGAGGGAGAAGGAAAGAGAGAGAGATGTGAGAGAGACATATCAATTGGTTGCCTCCCACACATGCCACCACAGAGGCCGGGGATCAGACCTGCAACCCAGGTATGTGCCCTGACCAGGAATTGAACCGGGACCTCTCAGTCCATGGGATGATGCTCAATCCACTGAGCCACACCAGCCAGCCTCATTTTGGGTTTGCTGGCCTGCCCTCTGTTTGCCCAGCCCTCCTATGTCAGGTGTCCTGGGCATTCCAGTGGGTGGAACCTAGCCTGCTGCCTACCCATGAGTAACCATGATGACTATCCCTCTCCGGATCACTTTCTTTGCTATGATGGGGAGAACATCCTGGTTCTAATGGTGGAGGGATAATCAGAGAAGAGCAGGGAAGAGGGATTGGGGGAAGAGTTGATAGATATTGCTGAAGACATAATTACCGGGATTGATGGGCAGTCTGGGTCCCTGGTGTGAGTGCTTTGGGCAGCACTGGTGTGCCACTAGGGCTGGCTGTCCTCTCACACATACAGCCCGCGGGTGGCCTTTACAGGCAGGAGCAGAGCTCAGGTGGTGTGAATGTGAAAGGAAAAGCAGTGTTGGGGAGGGGCCTCCCAGAGGTGGGAGGAACAATAGGAGGTATGGAGGCTGACCACCCTGAGAACCTTTGACCTATTCTTTTTCAGCTGGGAAGGGCAACCTTTGACCTCCTGGGCTAACTGGCCATGGGTGGCCTGTGTGTCCTTGAGTAAACGAGCAGTAGAGGCACTCTGTAGTCCCGTTGGAGTGTTGGAGGATTTGCACATCTGGAGAATCTCTTTTCAGAGTACACCCCAGGGCTGCGGGTAGGTGCTTCTGTGGGCTTGCTGAAGACAGGCCTGTGGAGCCAGAAGTGTTTCCCATGAGGTGTCCTCCGTCTTCATGCCTGTGCTTAGGCCCAGGTGGCCCCCCACAGGTGCTATGAACCTCTGAGTGCCTGGTCCCTTGGTCATTTGGTTACTCTATCTCTGGCAATGTTTCTTTGTAATGAAATGACCTCTGCACTTGGGATGTTTACACTCCTGAAGGGGTAGGAGGTACCACCTCTATGTACAATATGGGGGTTACTATGGAGTTTGGAAGTCCTGGGACCCCTTTGGGTGAGGTGGGTCCTGAAGGATGCACTGGAGTAAATGGATTTAGGGAGGAGGGGATTACAAGCACATGGAGGGGTTCCCCACAAGCTGCACAGGCAGGAAGGCCATGATGGGTGAGGAACTTGGGACAAACTGACCTGGCTGAGGTGGTGACGACCGTGGGGGAGTGTGGAGCACAAGGTAAGAGAATGAAGTGGAGGAACTGGGGTGCCAGATTGGCAGGCACCTGGGGTCTGTGATGTTGGAGGCCAGGGATGAGGGTACTGGGGAGGGGGTGCCATGCTGGTATAGATCAGGTGCTGGAAGGGGCAGAGGAAAGGGAGTGGCCTGAGGAGTTGGGAAGGAAGAATTTGGAAGGCAGAGTTGAATAGATCGGTGTGAAGGTAGACTCTTGATGGGGGTTGGCAGATGGGAAAAGGGTGCAGGTTGTGTTAGCTCTTTGGATATGAGCCAGTGTGGATGACTTGAACCCTCTGGTTGAGGCTCCCCCCAGCTTGTGGAGGCTCTGGGGGCTTTCAGAGTGATGTCTGTGTGTGTAACAAATTTTGCCTCCCAAGAGGGCATCCCAATGGCTTGAGCCCAGGTCTTCCAAAAGTCCTTCTAGAATGGGCCAGGTCCTGTTTGGAGTTTGTAATGGTGAGAAGGGCCCGGCAGGGGGCACAAATGAACCTCTAGAGAGAACCCTGTGGCCCAGCGGTTCCTCCCTGGAAATGTCCAGGTGTTTGTCAGTGAGGGAGTTTAGACTTGTCCAAGGCTTCTCAGCTTCGGGTGGGTCCAGGTGCAGGCCTAGGAGAAAAAGGAGGAGATGCGCCCTTGCTTGTGTACTTTTGCAGCCGACGTGCCCTCCTTTAACAGTCGGGCTAGGTGTGGTATCGCCTCCACTTGCCGGTGAGCACAGGCGTGTGTGTGGTGTGGTGGGAGGTGGCGGAGGTCAGGTTACTAGGCATAGTGATGGCGCAAACCCAGCCCCAGCCCCGAAGCCCGCGCTCTTCCCGCACAACCAGAGGTGGGGGCCGGAAGGAGGGGTGGCCTGTTTGGGAGTCCTGGGCGGTGGGCAGGACCGGGCGAGGTGGGAGAAACAAGGTGCCCAGGAGCAGGTAAACAAAGTTGGAGGAGGCGGACCACAGGAGCCAGGTGTTGGAAGGGAAAGAGGAAGCTCGGGACCCTGCAGGACGGAGGTGGTGGCTAGGGGACCCTGCAGGACGGAGGTGGTGGCTAGGGGACCCTGCAGGACGGAGGTGGTGGCTAGGGGACCCTGCAGGACGGAGGTGGTGGCTAGGGGACCCTGCAGGACGGAGGTGGTGGCTAGGGGACCCTGCAGGACGGAGGTGGTGGCTAGGGGACCCTGCAGGACGGAGGTGGTGGCTAGGGGACCCTGCAGGACGGAGGTGGTGGCTAGCGAACAGACCGGGCAGGTGAGCGGCGCGGGTACCACCGGCGCTGGCGGGCGGGAAAAGGCCGGGCTTCTCACTGTACCCACATCCCTGGGGGTGCGGCGCTTGACCCCTGCCCTCACCCCTCCCATCCTGGGAGGGCTCCCAATTCCTGTTCCATCGCTGCGTGCAGGTGAGGGCGGGACGGGGTGGGGCCGCCCACGCAAGGCTCTCCATTTCCCCCAGCGCCGTGATCCTCGGTGCCGCGGCTCCCCTAGGGTGCACCCTCCCCCCGCCAAGGGACGGGTCGGGTTCCAGCCCGCGGTGAGTGCGGAGCCCGCGGGGTAGAATGCGGGGTCCCGGGCAGCGCGGGGCGCGCGCCCGGCTCTCGGCTGCTTCCGGCCTGGCCTGGGCGGCGCGGGGGGAGGGCGGCCCGGCGGGCGCGGGGGAAGGAGCGGAGCGCAGCGCCCGGCCGACGGGGCTTTGTCTCCTTTGTTCCCCGCGGTGGCAGCTCCGCGGCGGGAGGGCGGGCAGCGGGCGCAGTTTTCCCGCCCCTCGGTCTCCGGGTAACAGCTGCTGCGACGCCAGACCCACCTCCGGGGCGAGGGGGTGGGCAGCGAGGTCGCCGCGCGCAGATCCCGAGCCGAGCCCGAGCCCGTGGCGGCCGGCGCCCGCCTCACCGCTCGTCCCGCGGGGCCCGGCCGGGTGGTGAGTGGGGTCGGGGCCCGGGCGGTGGGGACCCGGCGCGGCGCGCCCCACCCCGCGGGAAGGGACTGGGGTCCCGATCCCCGAGGCAGGGGCAGCCGGGTGAGTGGTGGGCGGCTTCGGTGCTGGAAGTTGGGACCACACTTCTCCGTGTAAAGGAAACTCTGGCGGCTCCGCCTGTAACGCGATTGGGAGACAGAGGAGGTGGAGCTGCTCCTCCGAGCCCCCTCCTCGCCGCCGCCGCCTCAACCAGAACCGCCGGCCCCTTCCCCCGCTTCCCAGGCCACTGGTGGGGTCCTTGCGCGAGGTCTGGAGGGGGGAGGAAGGTCGAGGAAGAGTCGATGGGGAGGTCGAGGCTTCCCCTCTTGTAGGAACAGCTCTTCAGGCTGCAATCGGTGCAACCGACAAATACAGACTGTGAAACTCCTGCCACGCACCCACAGACGGGGACTCCCTTCTCGGTACACAGATGGCTCTTGAGCCCTCGCAGGTGCCCGGTAAATGGTGGGTCCTCCCACCCCATGTCATCATACAGACAACAGGGAGAGCAGTGTGCACTACATCTCTGTCAATGAGGAACTCCTCCTGGGTGGACCCTGGAACCCAGCAGGAGCCGGGAAAGGCCAGTTTCCCGGTAGTTTCCAGGAGTCCAAAGTGAGGGCTGGGTGTGACCCTTCTCCAGGTGTGGAAGGACAGAGGTTGTGAGCCCCTTTGGTTGGTGAAGACAACCCCAGAAGGGCCCAGGAGGTGCTTGCTCTTTGCAGACAGAAATTAGGCAGCCGTAGGCCCTGCTGCAGAGGTCCAGAGAAAGGTGAGCCAGAAGAGACCTCAGGACAAGCCTGGGCACAGGCAGAGTGAGGCTTTGGCTCTGAGCCTGGATGGGGCCAGAGGTCTGCAGAAGGGGCAGGAGATCCTGGCTGTGCAAGTTGGGGACATGAGGCCTGGCTCCAAACCCTTCTTTTCAGTCAGCTTTGGCCTGCTCATTAATAAAAGTGGGGCTCACAGCTTGTCCTCTGAGAGGCCAAGTAGCTTAGAGAGCCCCATGTCTTCCCTACTGGCTGGGTTTCCTTGGCTATGAAATGGGGGTTCTTACAAGTAGCACCTGCTTTGTGCTATCCTGATCTGTCCCAGTTGCTGGGGCCTCTGAATCAACACCCACACTCCCCACCTTCAAGGAGCTTCAAGCGCAGGGTGGGAGGGCGGAGCAGGGGGAAAGTGGCCTTGATTGATGCCACTAATGCCAGGCATACACCATGTCATGTTTAATGGTCACAGCAGTCCTGTTTCCCATTCGGCCCAAGGCAGAGCTGCATAGCCACCATGGGGGGAGGGGGGCTCAGCAGCCGGGGTGGACAGGGAAGGCTTCCCTGGGGGGTGATGGTTGGGAGTGGAGTTAATGGGATAGAGGGGGAGTGGGCATTCCAGGCGGTGGGAACAGCCTGTGATGGCTGGGAGGAGTACGGCAGCCTGCAGCTCAGACGGTCAGGCACGTGGAGCATGCGTGGGAGAGCACTGGCATGTGATGGGAGAGGGCCAGGGCTGGAGGGGTTCAACCTTTATCACAGGTCCTGGGGTGCCCCCAAAGACTCCGGGGGTGGGGAGGGATGTGCTCGATTCTGCTTGAAGGTCCTGTGAAGTAGGATTGACAGAGGCCTGGGGGCTGCTCTGTGGCCTGGCAGAGGTTGAGTGAAATAGGAGTGCCCAGGGGAGGAGGAGAAATTGTCACTGTCCTTTTTCGCCTGCCCCGCTGGTGGTAAGTGGGGAAAGGCGGGAGTTCTAGGCCCTGATGCAGTGATTGAAGAAGCCTGCTGCCCTTCCCAGAGGGTCAGCCTCCAGCCTCCTCTGTGGCCTGGCCAGGAGCTGTTCTGATCCCGCCCCTCTTCCTCTGGGCCACCTAGTTGGGATTTTACTTCTGGGGAGTGTCTTAGTTGCTGCCCCTTGAGGGCTGGAGAGCCTTGGCACACAGAAGGCTCTGAGCAAATGTTTGTAAGCAAATAAAGGAGTGAATGTTGGTCTAACTGTGGACCCTCTGCCCCAGGCATCCCTGAGCAGGAGGTGGCAGGAGGGGAGAGAATAGTAGCTAGGTGCAGGGGTGGCCTTGCGGTGGCCTCTGCCCAACCTCAGGCACACCCTATCTTCCTGGAGGAAGAAACTTTCTTCCCTCATCCCTTGGAAACAAGGTGGGGGGCTCCTGGGAAGCCTGTCTTTGCCACAGTCCTGGGCTTCTGGCCGGGTTCATGACTCTCCCTGCGGCCCCCTCCCCCGCCCCTCGGGTGGCAAACAGAGGCAGCCTTGTTCCTGCTCCCAAAGAGCTGCCCTGTTCTCTGCACACTAAAAATGGAAACCCCCAAGCTATTTCGGGAGCAGTGCCCAGCCGGGCTGTGGCCACAGCTCCCACCGGGCTGCTGGACCCTCCTTGGAGCCTTTGGCCCAACCTCACGCACTCTGGGGCAGCCTCGGGGACACCCCGTGGGGCCCTTGGCTGGGAGGAGCTGCCCTGAGCTGAGGGAAGCTCTCCCACAGGCAGACTGGCAGCTGTGTGGCAGGAGGGGCTGGGCAATGTGGCCTGGGCACAGGCAAGTAGGGGAAGTGTCCCATGGCCTGTGGTGTACAGCCTGTCCCACCACTTTACCAACCTTGGTGCTCCTGCCTAGGGACCACTGGGCCTGGGGGAGATGGTGTTGCTATGGTTTCCTGGTCCCAGCAGGCCTTATCTGGGGCCTGCGAGGAGGGGTCTGTGAGGAGAGCAGGCAGCCAAGGGCTGGGGAGCTCCTGGGGATGGGGGGCATAGCTGGACATGGTGACTTACTCTAGGACAGTCCTCTTCCCCACACCAGGTCCTGGCTCTGCTTTGACCTGCTGGAGAGGAAATAGCAAGAGATGGCCTGGCTTCCATAGCCCTCTGGGACTGAGGGCTCGAACCGGGGGAGTGTGCATGAGTCTCTATGTGGGTGTCTGAATGTCTGGTATGTGGGGACGACATGTGCCACAGGCCTGTGTAAAGTGCATATTTGTGCGATGTGTGTGCTTCTGTGTGGAACGAGGTTGTCTTTGTGTGGATGTGTCTTTGTGCAGGTGGCTAAGTGTGGGCGGTGTGTCTGCCTGTTTCTGTGTGCACAGATTGTATCTGTGTGCATCTGTGTGTGTGTGCAAGCACCCATGTACTCGTGTGGGTGTGTGCAAGCATCTGGGTGGTATGTATGCTTCTTGGTTGTCCTAGCATGTGTCTGCTTGTGTGCTGGTGGCAGTTGAGGCTAGGTCAGCCCCTGGTCTGTATGGGGGTGTGATAAGGTGGACAGAGGGTGAAAATGGGAGAGTGCCGGAAAGGGAGAAGGGGCTGCGGGCAGACAGGGCCTGCCGGGGGCCCGCTGAGCCCTGCCAGCCATCCGGCTCCTTCCTAGCTGCCCTTTCCCAGGCCCCGAGGGTTCCTGGTTCCGCTGCCCTCCCCCTCCCCATGTGGGCTCTGAGGAGGCGTCCCCTGTGGAATGTGTTTGGTGGCTGAGGGCCAGGCTGGGCCCAGTTCCACCAGCAGGCTGGGCAGAGGGAAGGGGGTACCTCTGTGCTGCCTCCACATGCCCAGCTTCATACTCTGCTTTCTCCCTGCCTAGGTGACTCCTCCACAGGTCATGCTGTTGTCTCCTGACCCAGCTGGCCCTGCCAGGTGAGCCTGACCTCACACCTAGGCACCTGGGAGAAGTGTGACTGCCCCCTCTACTGGGGCTTCTCCAGGCCTCCTCCCTGGCAGCCTTAACTCCCTTCTTCTCTCCGATCCTTTGGTTCTGTGCTTATTACCCTTCTGGATCCCAGCCTGAAAGGCCCTTCCTCCGGTTCTCACCCTGCCTTAACATGCGAGCGGCCCATGGACCGCACCCTCCCTCCTCCTTCTGCCCAGGAAACTGACATCTTTGAGAGGGACCCGCCCCCTCCTCCGGGCTCTGTGCCCTTCCTTCCCATCACCTACTCGCACCTGCCCCTTCCAGGCTCTGGTCCCTGGGGATGAGGTGTTTCGCATGTCTTTGCCCCTATAGCCCCTCACTCTCAGACCCAGGGGTGGGTGACACAGGCAGTGCAGGGTGAGGGTGGGGTGGGGTCAAGGTCTCCTGAGAGAATAGGGCTTGCAGAGAACGCAATGTTGAAGTTTCCAGGAAAAATCTCCCGACCCCTTGCTGGTATATGGTCCTGGGGTCCTCCTGGACCATGGTGCCTCTGCTCACCCCCCAGGTTAGGAGAGGCACCTTGGCAGTGGCATAGTCCTGTCCCGCACGAGTGGCCCCATGGTACTCAGTGGCCACATGAGCCCGACTCTGCCTCTCTCCCTGCCAGGTGACCATGCCTGCCCTTGGCCCAGCTCTTCTCCAGGCGCTCTGGGCGGGGTGGGTGCTCACCCTCCAGCCCTCTCCCCCGGCGGCCTTCACTCCCAATGGCACACATCTGCAGCACCTGGCACGGGATCCCACCTCGGGCACCATCTACCTGGGGGCCACCAACTTCCTGTTTCAGCTGAGCCCAGGGCTACAGCTAGAGGCCACCGTGCCCACGGGCCCTGTCCTAGATAGCAGGGACTGCCTGCCACCTGTGGTGTTTGATGAGTGCCCTCAGGCACAGCCTACCAACAACTTGAACCAGCTGCTGCTGGTGAGCCCAGGGGCCCTGGTGGTGTGCGGGAGTGTGCACCAGGGGGTCTGCGAGCAGCGGGGCCTGGGGGAGCTCCAGCAGCTACTGCTGCGGCCGGAGCGGCCTGGGGACACCCAGTATGTGGCTGCCAATGACCCTGAGGTCAGCACGGTGGGACTGGTGGCCCAGGGCTCAGCTGGGGAGCCCCTCCTGTTTGTGGGGCGGGGATACACCAGCAGGGGTGTGGGGGGTGGCATCCCTCCCATCACAACCCGGGCCCTGCAGCCATCAGACCCCCAGGCTGCCTTCTCCTACGAGGAGACGGCCAAGCTGGCCGTAGGCCGCCTGTCTGAGTACAGCCACCATTTCGTGAGCGCCTTCGCGCGCGGGGCCAGCGCCTACTTTCTGTTCCTGCGACGGGACCTGCAGGCTCAGTCTAGAGCCTTTCGTGCCTATGTGTCCCGCGTGTGCCTCCGGGACCAGCACTATTACTCCTACGTGGAGTTGCCCCTGGCCTGCCAGGGCGGCCGCTACGGGCTGATCCAGGCTGCAGCTGTGGCCATGTCCAGGGAGGTGGCCCAGGGGGAGGTGCTCTTTGCAGCTTTCTCCTCGGCTGCTCCGTCCACTGTGGGCCGGCCCCCGGCGGCAGCTGCCGGGGCATCTGGGGCCTCTGCCCTCTGTGCCTTCCCCCTGGACGAAGTGGACCGCCTTGCTAATCTCACACGTGATGCCTGCTACACTCGGGAGGGCCGCACGGAGGATGGGGCCGAGGTGGCCTACATCGAGTATGATGTCAATTCCGACTGTGCACAGCTGCCCGTGGTGAGTCCCGACACTTACCCATCCCTGAGGCCACTGACCAGGCATTCACTGCCAAGCAGCTGCCCGGGAGTCCGAGGGAAGCTGGTGGTGGTGTGGGGGCTGATCAGGTCAATGGCTGTTTCTTCCTTTGTGTCGGAGTGAGGGAGGGGCATTCAGGGAGACAGGGATGGGCTTGGGCTGGGCGCTGAAGGGGTGGCGTTTGTGTAAGTGGATTGAGAGGGTGTTTAGGGTTCTGAGGTATAGGACAGCCACCCAGAAGGCAGGGGAGAGTGGGACCTGTTGTTTTTAAGTTTTTGAACAAGAGGTCAAGTGAGGTTGAGACTTGTTTGGCTCTAGCCTTAGGATGGACTAAAAAAAGGGAAAAGAAGCGCCCCGTCTGCGTGGCTCAGTGGATTGAGCGTGGTCCCATGGACTGGGAGGTCCCGGTTCAATTCCTGGGCAGGGCATGTGCCCGGGTTGCAGGCTCGATCACCAGTAGGGGGTGTGCAGGAAAAAGGGAAGAAGCTGCATACAGGGCACTGAGTCAGTGAGAGGTGCCAGGGCCCAGGTGGGTGGACTTGGAGGTGAGGGTGCAGGCTACTGAGGCTTTGGAGAAGTGGTCCAGGAAAAGGCTGAAATTATGCATACTCTGCAAGACACAGCTGCTAGGCTCGGGCCGGGCAAAGGTGTGGCCCCAGGCAGGTGGGAATCAGAAGAAAAGAAAGGAGCTGCTGGAGACTGTCCAAGGCAGCTGGAGATAAGCCACCAAGGCAGGGCCAAGGATGTGGCTGTGGGCAGTGTTGTCAGGGAGGGCTGGCAGAGAGCCTGGGGCAGGGACGAGGCTGTCCCAGGAGGCCCAGCAGAGAGGACGGAATTGTTCAGGGGGAACTGGCAGAGAGCCCAGGAAGGCAACAGGGCAGGGAGGTTATCCAGGGAGGGCCTGACTGGTACTTCCTGCTGCCTGCAGGATACCCTGGATGCTTATCCCTGTGGCTCGGACCACACACCCAGCCCCATGGCCAGCCGTGTCCCCCTGGAAGCCACGCCGGTTTTAGAGTGGCCAGGAGTTCAGCTAACAGCTGTGGCAGTCACCATGGAGGATGGACACACTATTGCTTTCCTGGGTGACAGTCAAGGGCAGCTGCACAGGGTGAGTCCACAGGAAGTACTGGGCCTTGCCCCAAGGTCTGGAGGGGACAGGCTGCTGGGGACCCAGCCTGAACAGAGCTAACCCTGTGGCCCTGGGGCTGGGAGATGGGATCAGGATATGCCCCAGCCCCAGGCTGGGAGAGATCACCTGTACTCTTCTTCCGAGGGCTGGGTAGTGTTTAACTGTGGTCCCCACCCCTTCTGATTCTTTCTGCCCCCAGGGCTGGGTGCTGTGACCTGTACTGCCTAGGAGGAAATCTATCTGTAAATTGCTTCATTGTGGGGAGAGGGGGACCTTGGGCCTATGACCATGGCCTTGGGTCCCAGACCTTATGGTTTCTGATCTCAGGTGTACTTGGGCCCGAAAAGTGATGGCCGCCCGTACTCCACACAGAGCATCCAGCAGGGGTCTGCGGTGAGCAGAGACCTCACCTTTGATGGGTCCTTCGAGCACCTGTATGTCATGACCCAGAGCACAGTGAGTGCCAGGCGAGAGCTGGGGCCTGGCTGCTGGAAGGGGCCTTGGGCTAGGCCAGGGCCCCTCTGTGGGTGAGCCACCAGTATTTGGATTGCTGGCCTTAAATCCGCTTTGCTGTCACAGCTTCTCAAGGTTCCTGTGGCCTCCTGTGCTCAGCACCTGGACTGTGTATCTTGTCTTGCTCACAGGGACCCATACTGTGGGTGGTGTGTGCTCCTTGGCAGGTCAGTGCTTCACAGACTCCTGACCCCTCCTGACCTCAAACCCAGCCCTATCCCCAGCCTCGTGTCCTCAATGCTCCTGCATAATTGCCCTGTCCAGGCTCCCTGGTCCTTGGTCCTTGACTCTCAACTCCTGACCCCTGGATGCTCCAATCCCTGACTCCATCTTTCACCCTGGGTATCAGTGTCTTGCCAGAGCACACCCAGCCTGGTGTCATGGCCCAGTAGGACGCTACCCAGGTCCCCAGGACTGTAGGTGTCCCTGCTCCATGAACTTGCAGTGGCCCTGTGAGGGTCACAGGTGGACACTGGTCACTCTTGCCCAGGTGCTGTCGCCGTTCTGAGTGCTCGCGGGGCCAGGACCCAGAGCCATGGCTGTGGAGCTTCCAGCCTGAGCTGGGCTGTCTGCAGGTGGCAGCCATGAGTCCTGCCAGCATCAGCCGAGAGGAGAGGAGGGAGGTGAGTGAGCAGAGCAGGCAGGGCCTGGTGGGGAGGGCTCTGGCACTGGGTCGGCACCTTAGATTTCGGTGTCAGGTGTACTAAGTACAACACGGCCTTGCACGAGTCACTTCCCTTGGGGCCTTGCTTTCTCCATCTGTTATTAACCAGGCCAGAGGGCGTTCGTGAAGGCTCAGGAGCGGGTGGCCACTGGTGTCTGCCTATGTTGGGTGCCCCTTAAGCACGAGCCCTGATCTGCTGCCCAGTGACTCCAACAGCGTGTCCTGGCCTCTCTTGGCAGGTTTTCCTGTTGGTACCTGACCTGCCACCCCTGTGGCTGGGGGAGTCATATTCCTGCCACTTTGGGGAATACCAGAGTCCTGCCCTGCTGACCGGTTCTGGTGTGATGTGCCCCTCCCCAGACCCCAGTGAAGCCCCGGCGCTGCCGAGAGGAGCCGGTGGGTGAGGGAAGGGGCCAGTCCGGGGCCTTGGAGCCCTGTGAGCCCTGCCTGCGCCCCACTTTGCTCCAAGGGGTGTGGTCTGGGTGAGGTGTGAATTCATGCAAAAAGCTCACCTTTTTCTGAGTTCCCCGCCCCCCTCCACTAGTCCCCACGCCCCTAAAGCCCCCAGCCCTGGGTACCCTTCCCCACTCTGTGTGGTCTTGGGACATTGGCTTGGTGTCTGGAAACCTCTCCCTGCTCCTCAGCGTTGGCCCTCTCCCCCCTTGCAGACCACGTTTCCGTGAGCGTGGAGCTCAGATTTGGCACTGTCGTGATTGCCAGAGCCTCCCTCTCCTTCTATGACTGTGCGGCCATCACTGACCTTCACCAGTCTGCGCAGTGAGTCCCTCACCCTGACCCCCAGGCCCAGGCTGCCCTGTGGTGCCTCGTGCTCCATGGCTGTGCTCTGTCCAGGTGCCAGGCCTGCGTGAGCAGCCGCTGGGGGTGTAACTGGTGTGTCTGGCAGCACCTGTGTACGCACAAGGCCTCGTGTGATTCCGGGCCCATGGTGGTCAGCCAACAGGTGAGTGTGACTCTGGGCTGGGCCACGTGGGTTTGGGGTCCCCTGATAAGCGTTCTCTGATGGCCCGGGGTCTGTGTGCCTGCCTGCCCACGTGAGGCTCTGTCGTGAGCACCTGAGCTGCCGTGTGACGACTCACTGGAGAGGGCCGTCCGCCGTCCAGGAGAGGACGTTTGTAGCCAAGAGGCAGGGAGGTCTGGGCCTCGCGTCCCACCTCAGCACAGACGCCCGGAGCCTGCCCTCCCCTCTTCTCCTTTGGAGAATTAATGAGCTGTTTTTGTTTCTCTTTTCCTTGGTCTCCTTTCCTCTTAACACATCCTCTGCCTGCCTGCTGCCTGCTCCCGCCCTGCCGCTGAGCGGCCCCTCCTGTCTTTCTCTGCCTCCCCTCAGAGCCCGCTGCTCTCCCCAGCCCCTCCGACAAAAGATGCACCCACCCCCTCCCCGCCTACAGCTCCCAAGGCCACGGTCACCCCTGCTCCTGACACCCTTCCCGCCAAGCCTGGGGCTCCCTCCTCAGCCACAGCCTCAGATATCCTACGTGGGGCCGGGCCTTCCCTGCTCAGCCCCTGGGGGCCGTGGGCAGGTCCTAGCCCCACGAATGGCTCAGCCTCCACAGAGTCGCCCCTCCAGGAGGAGCCCCGCCTTCCCCACCCCCTGGACAGACCTGCAGCCACTGCCCCTGCTCTCACTGCCTCTGAACCCACGGCCACACCTGACGACCTCTTGGCCTCCCCCCCATCGCCCTCAGATGCAGAGGCACTGTCCCCTGCCCCTGCGGACTTCCCCTCCGCGGTACACCGGGACCACCCCCCCAGCACTGCTCCCACCACCACTTTCCCAGGGGCCGCTGGCTCCACGAAGCCTGCTCTGGACTGGCTCATGAGAGAAGGCGGCGAGCTGCCTGAGGCGGACGAGTGGACAGGGGGTGACACGCCCACCTTCTCCACTTCCACCCTCCTCTCAGGTGATGGCGACTCGGCTGAGCACGAGGGCCCTCCCGCCCCCCTCATTCTCCTGTCCAGCCTCGACTACCAGTACGACACCCCCGGGCTCTGGGAGCTGGTGAGGCCCGGCCCAGGAAGGGGCCTTGGGAGGGGACAGGGCAGGTGCCTCGCCTTGCAGTCCTGCGTCACCTTGCGGTTCTGCGTCGGCCGGGACTGAGGGTCGGGGGGCCGTGGCCCCGCACCAGCCTGGCCCCTGGGGTTCTGTGGGAGAGGAGCGAGGTGGCAGGGCGGGCTCCATGGCCGGCCTTGTCCCTGGTGCCTGCAGGAAGAGGTGAACCGGGGTGCAGGCGCCTGCCCCTGTGTGGAGAGCGTCCAGGGCTCCACGCTGATGCCGGTGCACGTGGAGCGAAAAGTGCAGCTGCTCGGCCGGAACCTGCGCCTCCTCCAGGTGAGCGTGTCCTGCTTGCAGGCGGTGCTGTGGCCTCCTTGGCTGTTGGCAAACTGTATGAAGCCCTGGGGAGCAGGAAGAGGGCATGGGCCAGGCCTCAGAGCAACCCAGAGGCTGTGCTGGGGTTCCTGCAGGCTCCCAGGCCACCCCCTGAAGCTGCCCCGACCCCCTGTCCTCTGCCCTCAGGACAGCCCCGGAGACAATGAGTGTGTGATGGAGCTGGAGGGCCGTGAGGTGGTGGTTGCGGCCCAGGTCGAGTGTGAGGTGCCTCCAGATACCCGGTGCCACGTCACGTGCCAGCAGCACCAGGTGCAGGTCTTGAGTGCCTGGGTGGGCAGCGGTGCCCTGGCCACAGACTGGCTACCAACCTGAGCGGGCTGCACCACGCTCATCCCCACCCAAGCTCTGACCCTGTGATCCCGAGGGAGTCTTGGTAGCTCTGACCTCTGACTCTGGTCCCATGGGGTCCCTGCACTCCAACTCTGACCTCTGACTTTGTGCTCCCACAACGAGTCGTTTTGGTCCTTTCCCTGACCCTTCCCCCCAGGCCCCGGCCTCCCCAGCCTCAGACTTACCTGCATCCTGTTTCTCCAGCTCAGCTACGCGGCTCTGCAGCCAGAGCTCCGCGTGGGGCTGTTCCTGCGCCGGGCCGGCCGTCTGCGCGTGGACAGCGCACACGGGCTTCACGGTGAGCGGCCTGGGGCTGGCGCTGGCTGGTGGCGCAGGGCTCGTCCCGGCCTGCCTCTCACCGTCGCCTCTGCCCTCCCCAGTGGTGCTGTACGACTGTTCCGTGGGGCACGGGGACTGCAGCCACTGCCAGACTGCCCTGCCCCAGTACGGCTGTGTGTGGTGCAAGGGGGACAGTCCACGCTGCGTGGCTCGGGAGGCCTGTGCGGAGGCCGAGGCCGTGGCCACCCAGTGCCCTGCACCCCTCATCCACTCGGTGTGTTGAAACGCTGGCGCGTCCCTGCCTCACTGCCCCCCGTGGAGGGAGGGTGGGCTGCTGTGGGCCCGGGTCCCAGAGGGAGGCTGGGCCTGTCTCTCCATGCTGCCAGGGGTCGACAGGTGGGTGGAGGTGAGCAGTCCTTGTCCTGGAACAGGTGGAGCCACTGACTGGGCCTGTAGACGGAGGTACCCGTGTCACCATCAGGGGCTCCAACCTGGGCCAACATGTACAGGACGTGCAGGACACGGTCAGGGTGGCTGGAGTGCCCTGTGTGGTAGACGCTCAGGAATACGAGGTCTCCAGCAGGTGAGCTGGCTGGACCAACAGGAGCAGGGCCTACCCTGTGGGCTCCACAGTTGGCTTTGCTGCTCAGGGCCACCCACCCAGTACTCATCTGCCCTCCCTCGTCCCTCTTTCCTTGGTTCTGGTCACAGTGACTCAACGCTGGGGTTGCTGTTATGCACAGACCTGCAGCTTCCTGACCTGGGCCACTGGTGGGTCATTCCTAGGCCTGGGGCCCAGCCACTGCCCAGACCTGACCAGTGGCTCTGCCTAGGTGTTCTCATCCACATGACTGTGGATGTAGCCATGGTAACAGCGTCTTCTGATCCCAGACAGCTGTACTCGGGCTGGCCTTCCGACCAACTACCCTTCTTCCCCAAGACTCATCCTGGGAGGACTCCTCCCTCCCTGGACCCCTGGGTCCCCCTCCCTTCTCAGGCTCACGGCTTACAGAGTTTCTGGCTCCTAGTAACCTGTCGGGGAGTTGCAGCGTCCCCAGAGTGCATACACGGGACACTCCCAAGGAGCCTTCCACAATCAGTCCCATACCAGCTGAATGTCAGGGTTACCTGGAGAGCCTGCCCAAGCCTCCACAGAGCAGGTCCTTAGCCACGGAGATGTGAATCTGTGGGCTGGTATTGGGGCCAGGTAATGTGTTTTAAACAGGACTTTGAAGAACATGTAGTTTCCCCCCTAAATGTGCTATGACGGAGAACTTTAGGTGACTGTCTCGACTGTTAATGATTCTTGAACCATGAGACTGAAGTGATTTATAATATATTCTGGCTGGAACCTCTGCTGTGTAGTTCACACATCACCTGTTCTGTTTTCTCAGTGACCGTGACAATGTCACGGAGTTAAGCCACTGCAGGCTTCACACTGTGAACATTAACTTGCCCCAAGCTTTTGTTTTCTGGCTAAGACCCAGCATTTTCTTAGATTGCTCGCTTTCCGTTCATGTCTAACCCTAGACCTGACTAGAGGCTTTCAGGGGCTTTTTTTTCCATGAGGAAATCAAATGTCCACCACTTTGCAAGTGGCAGGTGCTGTACACACGAGGTGGCCAGTGAGGCCCACTCGGAAGCTCAGCCCCACCGGCTGCTTTGGAATCTGTGCCTTACAGAAAGGCCTCCTTGCCAGGGAGCTCGGGCTCACCCTGAACGATGGAAGCACGAGTGTTAATTCAGACCGCAGAGCCTCCTGCTGTGCCATAGGGGTTCCGTCCAAAGCCTGAGGGTTTCTGTGTCTCGTGGAGGTTGGGGCGCGGGAAGACCACCTGACTAAGTGGGACAGGGAAGGGCAGGGCGGTCAGTTGGGGGCCCTCGGTGTGGCCTGGCACCCAGCCTGCCCTGTGCCTACAGCCTCGTGTGCATCACTGAGGCCAGTGGGGAGGAAGTGGCAGGCGCTGTGGCAGTGGAGGTCCCTGGAAGAGGACGTGGCGTCTCAGAGCATGACTTTGCCTATCAGGTACCTGACTGCTGAGCCCCCAGCTGCCAATGGGCCGCCCCCTCTGGTGGCTCCTCCAGCCCACCTGGTTTCACCTGCCTGGGTTCCCCTCCCCAGGGCCTTTTTGTCTGCCTTGGGCTCCCCCGCCTCTCTGTTTCTGGCCTGACGTCTGTCTGTCCTTATCCTCCTTCCCACAGGACCCAAAGGTGCATTCCGTCTTCCCCTCACGAGGCCCCAGAGCGGGGGGCACCCGCCTCACCCTGCGCGGCTCCAAGCTCCTGACTGGGCGGCTGGAGGACATCCGAGTGGTAGTTGGAGACCAGCCTTGTCACCTGTGAGGGCTTCCTCATTCTGCAGAAATCCCTGCACTCCAGGGTGGGGTCCCGGGGAGAACAGAGAAGGGGAGAGGGCCGAGTCTGCTCCGTCTGAAAGTGCCCAGACCCTCCCAAAGCTGAGCTGCTGCAGGAGTGGAGCCTGCAGGGTCCCCCGCGGAGATGGCAGTCAGACTGAAGGGAAGTGAGCTGAGACTTGAGTGGGTCCCCTGGCGTGGAGTCATCCCTCCGTCCCAGGCCCTCTGCAGCCGGGCCTGCCCTCCACTCCTCCCTTCTTTCCCTAGGCTGCAGGGGCAGCAGGCGGAGCAGCTGTGGTGCGAGACCAGCCCACACCCCACGCCTGCCACACTCCCTGTGGCTGTGTGGTTTGGAGCCACGGAGCGGAAGCTGCAACACAGCCAGTTTGAGTACACGTCAGACCCCAACATCACCTCTGCTGGCCCCACCAAGAGCTTCCTCAGGTGCTGGGCCCAGGGCATGCTGCACGGATATGGGAGAGAGGGCCTAGCAGGTCTGGGACGTGGGGGATGTGTAGGGCTTTCTGTGGGGGCTGTGGCTCCCACGCTGCTGGTGGGGAGAATCCCCTGTGGCTTCGGGCTGGGGCTGAGCTAACCCAGCCGGGACTGGACTGTGCTTGAAAGCCTGGTTGTCAAAGCCTTGAGTGGCTCATGGGCTCTGTTTGCAGTGGAGGACGTGAGATATGGGTTCGAGGCCAGAATTTGGATGTGGTACAGACACCGAGAATCCGAGTGACTGTGGCGCCAAGAGCACTGCAGCCGGGCCAGGGGCCTGGGCGGAGGCGCCGTGTGGCCCCGGAGACAGCGTGCTCCCCTGGCGCCTCCTGTGGCGGACATCACGTAGGACACCCATGGATATCCCCTGCTTGTGCTGGGCTAGCTGTCACCCCCTGCCTCACCCCACACCCTACCCCAAGGACAGCCGTGGTGGTGGGTGCCATCTTTGGGGGCCCGCCCTGCAGGCCCCTGCTCTGACCCTGCCCTGCATCCCTCCCTCTGCCCAGTTTGAGGAGCCCTGCCACGTGAAGTCCTCCCAGCTCATCACGTGCCGTACACCTGCCCTCCCGGGCCTGCCCCAAGACCCCTGGGTCCGGGTAGAATTTATCCTCGACAACCTGGTCTTTGACTTCGCCGCGCTGAACCCTACACCCTTCTCCTATGAAGCTGATCCCACTCTGCAACCCCTCAACCCTGAGGACCCCACCACACCGTTCCGGCACAAGCCTGGGAGTGTGCTCTCCGTGGAGGTACTGCTTCTCCTCGGGCATGGCAGGGCCCAAGACTCCCACTTGGGTGTACGGTATTGCTGTGTGTGATGGAGGGGCCTTCGAGCCGGGCACGACTCCAGAGCAAGGGCTGGTGGACGTACCTGGCACCTCACCCTTCATGCAGTGAGGGCCGAGGGGGCTGGTGGTGGGGTGCCCAGCCTGATGCATTTGGCAGGACCGGGCTCCTGTGGCCTGGGTCTTGACATACTCCTTGGCAGGCATCTCAGTGACAATATGTAAATGGTTTGGCACACACAGTAGGTGGGTGGCATGGCACACAGCGGCTGCCTGGGCTGATGCCCATTTGGGAGCCTGGCTCATGCAGACACACTTGGCACATGTTCTGACACACACGGTAGGTGGGCATTCTGAAAGACCATAGGTAGGCAGCCCATCATCACCGACCCGGTGGGGCCAGCAGGCATAGTAGGGGCTGTGGCCTTGTTAGGCAACTGGGCAGAATTTGGGACAACTTTATAGTCTTAAGATTTTTAGCTCTGGAGATTAAGACTTGAGGAAGACAGAGGGAAGGGCAGAGAAAGGTCAGGACCAGGAATGGATGGCAGCTTGGAAGACATCTATGAGACTGTCGCCCCACGTACAGGGGATGAGGTGCTGAGGCACCATCAGCCCTGCTCTTGGGAGTAGGTCTCAGGATCATCCCTCCCTCACCTGGGGAGACAGGAGGATCTGAGCGACCACCAGCTCATCCCTTCAGGGAAGAGTTCTAAGTGATCAGTGACCCGTGTTCTAGGGGGAGAATCTGGACCTTGCGATGTCCAAGGAGGAGGTCGTGGCCATGATAGGGGCTGGCTTCTGTGTGGTGAAGACGCTGACTCGGCACCACCTGTACTGCGAGCCCCCTGCGGAACAGCCCCCGCCCCTCCGGGAAGCACCTGACGCTTTGCCTGAGTTCATGGTCAGTGGGCAGGCCCTGGGCTGGGCCGGGCCGGGCACTGGGCACGTGCTGAAGCCTTGCTCACAGGTGGCTTCCCCATGCAGGTGCAGATGGGAAACCTGCGCTTCTCCCTGGGCCACGTGCAGTATGATGGCGAGAGCCCCGTGGCTTTTCCCATGGCAGCCCAGGTGGGCTTGGGTGTGGGCATCTCTCTGCTGGCTCTGGGAGTCATCGTCATTGTCCTCATGTACAGGTGGGTGCTGCCAGATGTAGCTGGGTTGGGAGGGGGCAGGCTACCTAGGAGTCAACAAACTTCCTGTAGAGGGTCAGGGAGTGACTCTTTCAGGCTGGGGGCCAGGCAGTCTGTCACAACTGCTCAACTAGGCCATTAGAGCGCAAAAGCAGCCGTAAACATCATGCAGACACGAGCATGGCTGTGTTCCAGCACATCTTTAAATGTTTCAAGTTTATTGATGCATTTGAGAGATAGAGGAAGGGAGAGAGAGAAACATCAATTTTTTGCTCCACTTATTGGTGTACTCACTGGTTGATTCTTGTATGGGCCCTGACCAGAGTTCGAACCTGCAAGCTCGGTGTATCAGGATGATGTGCTAACCAACTGAGCTGCCCGGCCAGGGCCTCAGTAAATCTTTATGGACAAAAATAGGTCACGGGTGTATTTGGCCTGGTTACAGTTTGCTGACCCCTGGGCTAGACAGGACGTAGGTGGACATGACTTGCCTGGGATGGGACAGGCTAAATTATTCTGGGCTTGGCTGGGCATGGCTGGGTTAGACTGCTGGCCAAGGCAGGCCTGGTCAGGTGGGACCAGCAGAGTGTGGCCTTCTCCAGCCTTTCTCGTCCTGACCTTGGTGCTGAGCAGGAGGAAGAGCAAGCAGGCCCTGAGGGACTACAAGAAGGTCCAGATCCAGCTGGAGAATCTGGAGAGCAGTGTGCGGGACCGCTGCAAGAAGGAGTTCACGGGTGAGCTGCGGAGAAGGGGCCCCAGGCTGCCACGCCTTCCGTCGCATGGCTGAATGCCCAAACCTGGCCTCTTCTGCTCAACAGACCTTATGACCGAGATGACGGATCTCACTAGTGACCTTCTGGGCAGCGGCATTCCCTTCCTTGACTATAAGGTGTATGCTGAGAGAATCTTCTTCCCCGGGCACCAGGAGTCGCCCTTGCACCGGGACTTGGGTGTGCCTGAGAGCAGGCGGCCTACTGTGGAACAAGGGCTAGGGCAGCTCTCCAACCTGCTCAACAGCAAGCTCTTCCTCACCAAGGTGCCAGCCCCGCCCATACCTGGACCCTCTTGGCCCCGCCCCCTCCATCCCTGGGTTTCTGAATCGGCCCCTCCTGCCCACCCATCCCCTCTCCCTGATGCCAGTTCATCCACACCCTGGAGAGCCAGCGCACCTTCTCAGCTCGGGACCGCGCCTACGTGGCATCTCTGCTCACTGTGGCACTGCATGGGAAGCTTGAGTACTTCACGGACATCCTCCGCACCCTGCTCAGTGACCTGGTGGCCCAGTATGTGGCCAAGAACCCCAAGCTGATGCTGCGCAGGTCTGTGGGTGATGGAAGCACCGGGAGCCGAGTCGGGGCCTCCGGGCCCTGGGGTCTACAGAAGAGAGCCTTGTGGCCCTACCTGCTGACCCTGCCTCCCTGCCTCCACCCCTCCCTGTCATCCCAGGACAGAGACCGTGGTGGAGAAGCTGCTCACCAACTGGATGTCCATCTGCCTCTACACTTTTGTCAGGGTGAGGGAGGCAGGGGTGGGTGGGGCTCCCCTGCAGGGAGGGGCAGTCTCCAAACCATGCAGCCCCTGGCCCCCATGCAGCTTTTGCACGCCCGCCCAGCATGTCTCCTGTCACCTTACGTCCTCTGTAGCCTGCATCCCGTCCCCTTCCCCAGTGTGGGTCATGTCCACACACCTCTGCCCTAGGGGCTCTAACTGCCTGCCACTCCCCCAGGACGCCGTAGGGGAACCTCTGTACATGCTCTTCCGTGGGATTAAGCATCAAGTAGATAAGGGTCCGGTGGACAGCGTGACTGGCAAAGCCAAGTACACCCTGAATGACAACCGCCTTCTCAGAGAGGACGTGGAGTACCGTCCCCTGGTGAGGGAGTGTGTCGTGCCCATGTGTGCGTGCCCGGGAGTGTCAGTCCCAAGGGGTGAGTGTGAGCATGTGTGAATGTGTGTGACTATCGGGGTAGCGCTAGGAGGGCCTCTGGGAGAGACGGTTAGACTAGCTTAGCAGGGTAGAAGCTTGAGGGCCAGACCTTGAGGAAAGGATAGGGCCTCAGAAGGTCCCCAGGCTTAGGATGGGGTCAGAGTAGCCACAGGCAGGGTCCGGGGAGCAGCCAGCCCTGCCTGGGACCAGTCCAAGTCCCTTCTGTGCTGGGGCCTGAGTGTTTCTGGGCCATGGTCTCACTGTCCCGTCAGGACTGATGTGCCCACCAGGCTGGAGCACCCTGGCAGACTGCTGTCACGTCCCGGTTTGCTTCCCTAGTGACCCACCCAGAGTTCCTTTGGGAAATCCCATTCAGGCTTCGCCAAACTGCTTGTCCGTTAGGCTGATGGGAACTTCCGTCAGGTGCCTCGCCTGACCAGCTGAGCCAAGAGCCTGGGGACCTGAGTGAAGAGAGCCTTGTGCTTACTCACCTTTTATGCCATTTACCCCATATATTCGCTAGGGCACTATGCCAGGGGCTGGGGCCACAGTGGAGGGAGCTGCTGATGGCCTTCTCGGGTTGTCCCTGTCCTTGTGTCTTGGTCATCCTCTGTGTGGCATGAGCCCTGACGGCTCCCATGTGTCCTGTGTAGACCTTGAATGTGCTGTTGGCTGTGGGGCCTGGGGCAGGAGAGGCCCAGGGCGTGCCTGTGAAGGTCCTGGACTGTGACACCATCTCCCAGGCCAAAGAGAAGATGCTGGACCAGCTTTATAAAGGAGTGCCTCTCGCCCAGCGGCTGGACCCTCGCACCTTGGATGTCGGTGAGGGCGGGTGGAGGCTGGGCTGCTCCTGGCCCGGTGTGAGGGGCGGAGCTGGGCTATAGAGGCACGGCCTCTCACCTGGCGAGGGGCACCTGCTCCTGGTCTGTGGACAGGTGGGCTGCCCCTGATGGGGAGGGGTCTGTGTCCCTGGGAGGAAGAAACGGGTTCTGCTGCAGACAGGGTGTACCGGAAAGCCTGGCCCCGGTCCCACCTTGCCCTTGCAGAGTGGCGGTCTGGGGTGGCCGGGCATCTCATTCTTTCGGACGAGGATGTGACTTCTGAGGTCCAAGGTCTATGGAGGCGCCTGAATACCCTGCAGCACTACAAGGTGGGAGGGGTGGGAGCTGGAGGAGGGGCGGGGGGGGCTGGCTGGTGGAGGGGTCACCAGCTGTGGTCAGCAGGTCCCAGATGGAGCAACTGTGGCTCTGGTTCCCTGCCTCACCAAGCACGTTCTTCGGGAAAACCAGGATTACGTCCCTGGAGAGAGTGAGTACCCGCTCTCCCACCACCACGGCCCCTGCCCTTGCTTTGCCCAGTAATGGGGAAGGGAACTCGGCCTCAGGGTGGCTTGTGTCTGTTTCCATTCTACCCAGACAAGTCCTCCCCAGGTGCCCCCACTCCTGGGAGTTGGCTGGACCCCAGGACTCAGGGGAGGGGGCACCTGATGAGAGGTGACAAGTGGTGGGGTCTTGGCACAGGGACTCCAATGCTGGAGGATGTGGATGAGGGGGGCATCCGGCCCTGGCACCTGGTGAAGCCAAGTGAGGAGCCGGAGCCACCCAGGCCGAGGAGGGGCAGCCTTCGGGGTGGGGAGCGAGAGCGAGCCAAGGCCATCCCTGAAATCTACCTGACCCGCCTGCTGTCCATGAAGGTGGGTGGGGACAGGGCTGGCAGTGGGGGGTGGGGGACAACAGCCACTCGTGGGATTTGGGGGTGGCATGGGACTCACACAGGCCTAGTGCCACAAGCTGAGCTGAGGTCCCCTTGCTGACCACAGAGATTCCTCTGTGCTTCTTGTCCCCTGCAGGGCACCCTGCAGACGTTTGTGGACGACCTGTTCCAGGTGATTCTCAGCACCAGCCGCCCTGTGCCCCTCGCTGTAAAGTACTTCTTTGACCTGCTGGATGAGCAGGCGCAGCTGCATGGCATCTCCGACCAGGACACTGTCCACATCTGGAAGACCAACAGGTGGGGTGGCCCGGCGGCCAGGGCGCAGGGTCTCCTGCCTCTGCAGTACACTCACAGCCACACCTCCCTGCCCGCAGCTTGCCGCTGAGGTTCTGGATCAATATCATCAAAAACCCACAGTTTGTGTTCGACGTGCAGACGTCTGATAACATGGATGCAGTGCTCCTGGTCATCGCGCAGACCTTCATGGATGCCTGCACCCTGGCGGACCACAAGCTGGGCCGGGTGAGCGCTGGGAGGACGGGGTCGTGGGTGGGGCGGGGCAGAGTGTCCAGGGGTGTTGTACATGCACACAGACCCCAGGCTTCCCCCAGGGTGTCAAGGAGGAGGGCTACACAGGTCTCTGCTTCCAGGCCCCAGGCCAGGCTTTGTCCCTGAGCTCCCTGAGCTCCCTGGGAGGTGGTGGTGCCTCATTCCTCAAGGACGACCAAGGGCAGGGGATGCCATGTGCTGATTCACAGGGTTGGACACGGCTGCAAGTACAGCCTGCTGCGGTGGCAGGAGGCCAGGGCCACCAAGTGAGGGCTTACCCTGAGGGGACCACGGGAGCCACTGGAGGCCTGGGAACAGGTGGGGGCGGGGTGTCAGACCTGAGTCAGGTGGAGCCTCTGGCAGTTGTGCAGTGGTTGGGCTGGAGCCTGGAGTCCACAGAGGAATCTGTGTTGTCCTTGGGAGGAGCAGTGGCCAGGTTCACGGTGGACAAGAGGGTGCAGGGCAGGAGAAGCTGGGGGTTGGATGTAGAGGATAAGGAAGATGGGATCCCTGGGCTTCTGGTTACAGTGAGCTTAGACTGGAGGAGGTGAGCCCGAGGTGGTGGTGGGGCCACCAGGTGGTTTCCAGGTGGAAAAGTGGATTCTACGATCACAGGGCAGCTCCAGGCTGCCTGTGTGTCTGATTTCTGAGCACGGCGATGTCTGCTGCCCGCATAGACCAGAGGGAGGGCCCGGGGAGTGGCTCATGGAGGGAGGTGTGGCCAGGGCTGTCCGGTGGCAGAGGGTGGGGTTGTATTGTCTCTGTGGTCAGAGCCCAGAGAGTCCCATGGCATATGGGGTCACCTGGCAGGCAGGGCCCTCGCAGATCCACGAATGGGGCTCTGCTTAGTCCAGACCCTGGCAACGTTGCCCTGTGGCCTCTTGAGAGAGATCTCCACATCTCTATGAAGAAATGACGGGAAGTTCCACTCTAGTGCTGTCTTGTGAACTGTTTTTGCTCTACCTGAATGAGCTAAGCACCGCAGGGCCACAGCAGGACCGAGGGGCCACTTCCACAGTGCACGCCACGGGGTGGCGGGGTATCTCTGCTCGCTCTTCTCACTGCCTGCCCTCCAGCACAGCTGCTGATGCTCCGGGGTAGCTCCAGAGTGGTCCAAACCGGGAGTGCCAGGCGCGCCGCAGAGGAGCGTGCCTCCTGCCCTGGGCCTCTTAGGGGCAGCGATCTTGCCTCAGCCTCCCAGCAGTGTCGGGATGAGGGAGCAGGTGCGGGCAACAGGAGCCTGCTGCCCAGAGCCCATAGCCCCTGGCACAGAGCTGGGAGTGGCCCCCAGTTTGGTGGTAGAGGATGTGTCTGGGTGTGTGGAAACCGTGGGCTCTGATTTGAGAGACTTGCTTCCAATCCCAGCTCAGCCACGTGGGATTTGGCCTGGGCGATTTACTTCATTTCCTGAGTGCGTTTTCTGATTTTTAAAATGCTCGTATGAGCCCTGACCGGTTTGGCTCAGCGGTTAGAGCGTCGGCCAGCGGTCCGGAGAGACCCAGGTTCGGTTCCTGCCCTGGTTGGTCGTGCGGGTAGCAGCCACTTGATGTGTCCCTTTCATGTCGATGTTTCTCTCTCTCTCCCTCCCACTCTATCTGAACAAAAAATGGAAAAATGTCCTTGGCTGAGGATAAAAAAATAAAAAGTAAAATAAAATGCTCTTATGCGGAATGGACAGCACAGGAGCAGCGAGGGCTGCCCACGGCCCCTCCCGCCCGCATGCCGGGCTCTCTGCTGGACCCGGGGGGAGGCACTCAGGCTGAGAAATGACCTTGGAGTAATTGGGGGAGAAACTCAGGAGACAAAGCAGGGACTGGGCTCAGTGGGAGGGAGGAGGCAGGGGGGTCCTTGCAGAAGGAAATGGGCTAGGGTGACCAGCCGTCCCCGTTGCCTGGGACTGAGGGGCGTTCCTGGGACTGGGACGGTTACAACTAAAACAACGCGGAGAAAGTTGGGACAGTCGGTCACACTCAGGGGACTCTCATCATTCTTTCCCCTTTTACTACTTGCCTGCTGGCACCCAGGACTCCCCCATCAACAAGCTTCTGTATGCTCGGGACATCCCCCGGTACAAACAGATGGTGGAAAGGTACGAGGGCAGGGGAAGGGGCTGGGATGGGGCACAGGTGGACAGATTGGTGGGTGCTTACAGCTGAGGCCCAGGGGTGGCCCTGGTAGGGTGAGGAGTGGTTTGTTGTCCCAGCAGCTACAGTCCCCATGATCTCTGGCAGGTACTACACAGACATCAGACAGACCATCCCCGCCAGCGATCAAGAGATGAACTCCATCCTGGCTGAGCTGTCCCGGGTACGGCCCTCCCTCTGCTTCTTGGGTTAAGCACAGACTCCTGCCATGAGGGTCCTGCCCCCTTCATATACTCCTTTGCAGGGAAGTTCTTGGAACCTCGGCAGAATGTTTTAATTGCCACTTTAAAAGACCAGGGCTGCCCTGGCCAGTTTGGCTCAGCAGTTGAGTGTCGGCCTGCAGACCAGAGAGTCCTGGGTTCGGTTCCCGCTAGGGGCACATACCACAAAAAATAAATAAAAAATAAAAGACCAGGGCTCCCAGCATTTCATCAGAAAGCAGTAGAGGTCTGTCCTGGCTGGTTTGGCTCAGCGGTAGAGCATCGGCCCGTGGACCGAAGTCCCTGGTTCGATTCCGGCCAAGGGCACGTACCTCGATTGTGGTTCATCCCTGGCCCTGGTTGGGGTCGTGCAAGAGGCAACCTGTTGATGTGTCCCTCTCATGTCGATGTTTCTTTCCCCCTTTCTACCCTCTCCTCCACTCTATCTGAAGATAAAAAGGAAAAAAAAAATCCTCGGGTGAGGATTAAAAAAGAAGAAGGAAGCAGCAGAAGTCTTGTCCTGGCAGCTGCCACCTCACCTGACTCAGCCAGGGGGTTGGGGTCTGTGGACAACAGCCCCAAGGTGGTGCAGTTGCTGGGGTTCAGCCCGGGACTGCCTGGGTTGGCCTGCCGTGTCTTCCTTTGCTCTGCCTCCCTGGGTGCTCTAGACATGCCCACCTACTCCTGCAGCGGCCCAACATCAACCCCAGCAATTTATGAACCATGGTTCTGAAATGATGACGATCATAACCACAATAATAATAGCTATGATTTCGGGGTATTTCTGTGTGTGAGGTGATTTGATTATCTCCTCATTTGATCCCCGCAAGAGCTCCCCAAGTAGGTGATATCAACTGCATTGTCCTGAGGTGTCCCGCGGAGGGGCCTGGGTGTGACCTCAGGACAGACGAGTGAGGCCAGAGCAGCAGCTGGCTCTGCAGTCACCTGGGACAACGGTTCCAGCCGGAGCCCGGGCGGGGAGGGCAAGGGCCGCGGGGGCCCGCAGACCCTGCTGAAACTGCAGACCTGTGGTCTCCCCACCAAGGAGGCCCTTTGGCCGTCCTGTCCCTGGTTGAGCACGCCTGACCTGGGACCCGATCTGAGAGGGGCCCTGCATCCTGCTGCGGGGCTTGTCCCTTCCTCCACCTCCCAGGCCCCTGCTCCCCCAGCTCCTCCCTGAGCTCTGGAAGCTGTCTGGTGGCTGGCAGCACCCCTCATCTCTGTCACTTCTCTGTCCTCCCTAGAACCACTCTGGAGACCTAGGAGCACGAGTGGCCCTGCACGAACTCTACAAGTATATCAACAAATACTATGACCAGGTGGGCAGCACCCGGGGCCCTGGCTGGAGGGCTGAGGAGATAGATGTGGGAGGGTATATGGCCCTGTGGTTCATGGGGGGACTTCGGGTCTCCCCCTGGCTCAGAGTAGGGGAGGGGCTGCGTCCTGGGCTCCTCAGCAGGGCTCCCAGGCATGGTGGTGGGCCTCTGGGGAATTAGCAGGGCCCGGAGATGGTGTACAGGATGTACCGGGAGGAACACACAGCTGCCTTGCTTGGCTCTCTGCCCGAGTCCATGGGTGGCAGTGCTGTGCATGGTCGCCCCGTGGGTGTGGGTGTGGGCCCGGGCCCGGGCCCGGCCGGGCTGCCAGAGAGGAGGGTCCAGTCACAGGGCCAAGGTGAGTGAGTTCACAATAGAGCCGTCTTTCTGGGGATTCCTGGGCTGGGCCTCTAGATCAGAGCACCCAGCAGTCAGCCTCCTGGTGTCTGCTGAAATGGTGCACCCAGATGTTTGCATGGCATCGGGGTGTGGCCACTGCTGTTCAGAGATGAGAGCCGCCTTGTGGCCCAGGCCTGGAGTGAGCCTGTTTTCACCAAGGAGTGACGCACAGTGTGAAGTCCAGGCACCTTCTCCGGGTGGTGGGGGCCTGGTGTGGGGGAGATGGGCACCTTTGGTTCCTACCATTCCCTCTGAGGTGGCCCCCATCTGTGGTCTGTCTCTGTCTCCCCCCCGTGAGCCTCACGAGGGCAGGACCTCACGTCATCGGGTCCCTGCTTGTTGCCTGGTGGTGGGGAGCCAAGATGGCAGTAACAGGGCCTCTAGGGGGTTCATGGGGAGGCCAGCATGGCAGGTGGGGCTGGCCTGCACTGACCGATTTTCCCCGGGGAGCCGGGTGTTCGTCACCACGAGCGCCAGGTGCTGCGGCTCACTAACCCTCCAAACCCACAGGACTGGGTATTCTTCCCTCCCCCTGGCGAGGCCCCGAGGTCACACAGGAAGTAGTGAGGGGACCCCGAATCGTGCCCTGGTGTCTGAGGAGGCTGGGGTCCCCTGATGGCCGGTCGCTGCCTTTCAGATCATCACCGCTCTGGAGGAGGACGGCACGGCCCAGAAGATGCAGCTGGGCTACCGGCTGCAACAGATCGCAGCGGCCGTGGAGAACAAGGTCACGGACCTGTAGGGACCCGGCGAGCCCTGCTGTCACCGCAGCCCTGCCTGGCCGCCCCGGCGCCTTGAGGGAGAGACACCTTCTTAGATGCTGTAGAGCCTGACGAGCAGTTAGTGGGGGTGGCCCCAGTCTCCCGGTGGCCCTGCCCCGGCCCTGCTGGCCTTACCTCGCAAGCCTGTGGCCGAGAGCTGATGGGGTGGCGCCTCGCCTGCTCCCCGAGCCCAGGGACCCTGTGGGCTGTTCTCTGTGATGTCAGTCTGTGGGGGGCCCGGCACAGGCTCCCAGAGAGGGAGCCCCTGGGAGACGGTGCTGTTTCTGAACACTGGCCTTCATCCCACCGGACCCAGGGAGGAAGGAGGGCCCACTCACTGTCTTGCCCTCCCCCCCATCAGCCCTGACCTCAGTTTAGCTGCCTCCAGCTTTTGCTGCTGCCACGATCCTAGGTCTGAGAGATGACCGCCTCCTCCAGGCCACCGTGAACTGACCCCTCAGAAGGGGTACTGCCTTAGGGCCACGCTGCCTCAGGCAGCCAGTGGCGGGGCGTCTGCTGCAGAGGGCCTCGGGGAGAGTGGTGGCCACACTGACCCAGCTCTTCATTAAAGGATAACACACTGCGTGGCGTCTGCTGCGTGGGCTCTGCCCAGCCCCTCCCTTCGTAGGAGGGCGCAGGGGTGGGATCTGCACCCTGGGGCAGGTCTCGTGGCTCCCGGGTGATGCTCCAGACTCCAGGGCTGCTGGAGTCAGAGTCCATGAAGGAAATGAGAGCCCCGCCCAGGATGGGGCTGGAGAGGTCGCCAACGAAGGCGGAGGGGTCTGCAGTCTCCAGGGGTCTGCCTTGTCTGCAGTTTGAGTGTCCTGACTCCTCCAGTCACGTTCCGCCTGTCTGGAAGGGAACTAGGAAAGGATGGCATTGCAGGCAACCCAGGGACCCTTTCCCACCGTCCTGTTTCTGAACTTCCCAAACCCTGGTAGCCTGGGTGTTCTCAGGGGCTCCTGGATACTGGATTGGGTTGTCTTCTAAGTCAAGGCATCTTGGGAGGGGTCTCCTAACCCAGCTGTCTGCCTGTGTGAAGGCTGCCTTGTATGGTTTTCCTGGTTTGTAGCTGGAGCGGAGCTTCGAGGCTGTCCTCCTGGGTCTTGTGTTGCTGGCTGGGTCTGTAGGGCTGGGAGTTGACGCCCCCTTGACTGAGACCACCCGTGGCCTGAGCAGGAGGCCAGCCCACATCCCTCAGGGTCTGCACAAAGCTCTCCCCCTTGGCTCTCTGCTTACTCCCATAGCCCAGACCCCAAACTGCCTGGTTTAGCTGAATGATGATACATTGTGGACCTCCCTTTCAAAGTGTTCCATCCTGCCCTGGCTGGTTTGGCTCAGCAGTTGGATCAACAGCCTGTGGACTGAGGGGTTATGTGTTCAATTCCCAGTCAAGGGCACATACCTGGGTTGCAGGTTCACTCTCCAGCCCCTGGTCAGGGTCATGTGGGAGGCAACCAATCGATGTGTCTCTCTCACATCAAAGTTTCTCTCTTTCCCTCCCTCCCTTACACTCTATCTGGGAATTAATGGAAAAATATTCTCAGGTGAGGAATAACCCAACCCCACCCCCCAAAAAGTGTTCCATCTTAAGGATGATGGCTTATCCCAATTCCAAATATTTACAGAAATCTAAGATAAGGATACTCTGGTATTTGAAAGGAATTTATTTATTTTTATCCTTACCCGAGGACATTTTTCGATATTTTGTTCAGATAGAGTGGGAGGGAGAGGGAGAGAGAAACATCGATGTGAAAGGGACACATTGAGTGGTTGCCACCCACATGACTCATCAGGGCTGGGGACAAACTGCAACCGAGGTACATGCCCTTAGTGGGAACCACACCTGGGTCTCTCTGGACCACAGGCCAACGCTCCAACCGCTGAGCCAAACCGGCCAGGGAAGGAATTTATTTCTTGATTGTTGTCGGGTTTTATTTATAAGCCTTTGGATTACCTAGCTGATAAGTGCACTGGAAATAGAATGATCTGTGGGCAATCCCGTCCCTGCAGGTCTAGGACCGCAGGGGAGTTGGGTAGCAGTGTACTGCCACCTTCTGGCCACAGCGGGGAAGTTATCAAAATGGAAACGAGGAAAGGAAAATCAGTAGTGCTTGGGCTCAGTGGGTCATCGTACCTTGTCTCTAACCTGAATTCTGGTTTTAGATGTGAGATGTGTCTAAGGAGATAGTTGAGGGAGTGTAACAGTGAGTGACTAGTCAGGAAAACAAACTACTGGGTGTTTCAAACAACAGTGTTGAAGGGGTTGGAAGGGCAAAAGGGGGGTGAAGTTACCCAGAGATGAGTGACTGCAGAAGCCTCAGGCTGGCAAGGGGACAGCTATGTAACCCATGGCCTCTGGCCAGTGCCTGCAGGAAGCTGATGCTGCGGGGCGCGTCCCTACTAGGCACCCTGCAGGGAGGAATGGAGCCTCCAGGAGGAGGGGTCACAGCTCTATCTGAACCTTTGCCGCTCCTTGACCTGTCTATCTTCCCTGAGATCTCAGGCCTCGAGCCAGCTCTGGGAGGCCAGCGGCCTGGATTCCAGTTTTAGTTGATCTGCGCCTGACTGGCTGGGCCTCTGGGGAGAAGGGCAGGGATGTTCTGACATGTGGCAGGAGCCAGCCTGGGTCCTGGGGTTGGGTCCCAAGTTGACACCTGACAGGCGAATGGCAAACCCCAGAAAAGAGGGAACGAGAGCTTCCTGACAGCTGTGGGCAGCAGAGAAGCCAACAGGCCTGTGCCCAAGTGGGCAGGTTCTGAGCAGGCAGCACCAGTGGGAGCTGTAGCTGCAGGAGGGGCTGCCCCTGCCCCTTGGCAGGGAGGATGCTGAGGGAATAATTACCCTGCCTGGTGCTCCTACCTCCCAGTCTCCTGTGGCTCCCCCTGTTGGATAAGCCACCTGAAAGCCAGAGGGAAGGGTGTCTGTGGGCACAGACTGGGTCAGCTCTAAGTACAGAGCAGGATAGAAAGGCAGGAGGGGCCTGTTGGTGCTCTGTCATTTAGGGCCACAGGGTGACTGCCATAGCAGGACTTGGTTCCTGGCCTTGCAGCATCCTCCCACACCCCGACGCCCTGGTGCCCCTTGGGCGGTGCTGCAGTCTACCTGAAGGACATTGGGAACCTCAGCTCCTTACAGCTGAGTGCGCCTCCTGGCCTGCTCTCCGGGCTGGGTAGGGTGCTGGGTGTGCAAGTAGGGGCCCAAGGAAGACAGCTGCAGGCGGTGGAACACGTGTTCTGGATCTACAGCTTTGTCTCAGGTAGAAGAACGCCGCCGGGGCGGGGCGCAGACCTACCCCGGAGATGTGGGAGGCCAGCACACCTGCATTCCGCACACCTGCCCAATGTGTGTGGGCACGTCCACCCCCACCCCCACGCCCACCCCGGGCAGACAGAGCCCTCACCTGCTCCCAGCCCAGCTCACTGACCTGAGTCCGGCAGCAGAGCTCATTGTTTTGTGTGTGGTTGTGCCTTTGTGTGTGTATGTGTGTGTATAGATATTTGATATGGGGGTGGGGAGCAGGCAGAAGCTCTGACCTTGAGGGAAGATGCCCTGGTGAAAAGCCCTGCAACTTGGAGCTCAAGAACTGGGCTGTGGTCTGGCCTTGGCACTGACTGCCTTGGAACCGGCTCTCTTCTGAGCCTCAGGTTCCTCTTCTATAAGCTGTGGGTCCTTAAGCACCTTCCCAGAGGGGGCATCCTGTGAAAACTGTCACTGGGGAAGGCAGGTCCCTGGAGACACTCTGGGCTACCCTGCAGGGCAAGAGCTGTCCCTCCATGCCCGGGCCAGGCCTGACCCCCATGGAGGGCGAGCTGGGTGGCTACTGAAGGCCTCGTTGGGAAGACAGGAAGGAAGAGGGTGCACAGCCTGCCCCGGCCTTCCCATAGAGGGGGCACAGACGGAGTCAGCACTCCCAGGCCCCTCTGGGCCCCAGCGCCCGACTGTAAGGCACAGGGAGGCCCTCTGTCACAAGGGCCTCTTCACCCTGACGTAGGTTTGTGAATCCAAGGGGACAGCAAATCCCTGTTCTGCTACCTGCCCATCCCCAGGCAGCCCAGCCTGAGATTTCTTGCCTCCTCTCGTCATGCTTTAGGGTCGCTGCTAGATTCTCCCTGCCTTTGCCCTCTGCTTGCCAACATCCCCACTTCTGACCTCCCCATGGAGAGGCGAGGTGGGGTAGCTGCCTCCCTCAGCCATAGGTGTGTTGGGAAAAAGCAATAAACAGTTCTCTCCAGAGCATTCTTAACGTTGTTTCCACCCTCTTAAGAAATCTCAACTCACTGAGGCTCATCTTACTATCTTACATTCATAGATGTTTACACAACATACACTCCTGAAAACTCCTCTGTCTTCTGACATTTAACATCCGACTCTTTTTTTTTTTTTTTTTTTTTTGAGAGAGAGAGAGAAGGGTTGGGGGGGTGGGATTAAGAGAGAGAGAGAGATTTTTTTTTTTTTAATCCTCACCCGAGGACATTTTTCCATTTTTTTTTTGTTCAGATAGAGTGGGAGGGAGAGAGAGAGAGAGAAACATCGACGTGAAAGGGACACATCGAGTGGTTGCCACCCGCACGACCCAACCAGGGCCGGGGACAAACTGCAACCAAGTTACATGCCCTTAGCGGGAACCGAACCCGGATCTCTCCGGACCGCAGGCTAACGCTCTAACCGCTGAGCCAAACCGGCCAGGGCGAGAGAGAGATTTATTGTTCCACTTATTTATGCATTCACTGACTGCTTCTTGTATGTGTCCTGACTGGGGATCGAACTCACAATCTTGGTATATGGGGGCGATGCTCTAACCAACTGAGCACCCTGACTTCACTCTTTACATACTCATAGCCTCTCATCATCAGAGTGATCCAATGTCCTTAAACGTGATCAATCCAACAACAATTTCCTATGGCAAAGGATTCCTTATCAATGTCCTTGGACCCCACTTCTATTCAACCACAACGACTTTGATATATATAATTGGAATCCTAGAAGGAGAGGAGAGAAAGAATTGGATGGAAGTAATATTTAAGAGATAATACCTGAACCCTGGCCGGTTTGGCTCAGCAGTTAGAGCGTCGGCCTGCAGTCCAGAGAGACCCGGGTTCGGTTCCCGCTAAGGGCATGTACTTTGGTTGCAGTTTGTCCCCGGCCCTGGTTGGGTTGTACGGGTGGCACCCACTCGATGTGTCCCTTTCACATCGATGTTTCTCTCTCTTCCTCTCTCTCCCTCCTGCTCTGTCTGAATAAAAAAATGGAAAAATGTCCTCGGGCGAGGATAAAATAAAGAAAGAGATAATACCTGAGAATTAAAAAAAAAGATGGATGGTAGGTATCAACTCACAGATTCAAGAAGCTCAGCTAACCCCAATCAGGATGAATAAAAAGAAAATCACACCTAGGCACATCTATTCAAACTACTGCAACCCAACACAAGTAACTGAACTTGAAAAGCACCCGGTGGGGTTTGGGGGATGATGGGAGGGTGGAGAGGCTCACTATCTACAAAGGGGCAAATGTAAGACTGATACCAGCATTCTCAACAGAAATGATGAAATACAAGAGACAACA